GCAGGGGCTGCCGCTTGGCCATGGAGCTCAGGAGCCGCGCGGGGACGGCCGGGGCACCCAGCTCCACCTGCGGGGAGCACAACAAAGGCCACGTCGGGGGGGGACCCGCTTGGGAACGGAGCAGTTCTCCAGCCTGGACCAGCTCTGGTGTTGCAGGCTGATGGTGTTAGGCACAGAGGCGGCCCACAGCCAAAGGCATCTTCCTCTGGGGATGTCTCTTCCTCCTCATACTCTATAGACTCAAAGCTTTCCTATGTGATGTTACTTCCAGCAGGCTGTGACTCGCACTGCTTTTGAGTGTGAGCTTAGTTCAAATATTACTAGTTTGAGACAGGTACAGTGTTACTGAAAATGTATATACTAAAGTACAATATGAAATGTATATGTGTTTTAAAATTATATATACAATATACATATTCATTGTAAAATACATATATTAATTACTCTAAAGGTTTTTTTTTAAAAAATGTATCTTAAAAACATGGCTTTTTATAGATAAGTTTAAAGGACTAATGGCATTTAGCTCTCAGATAAGCACTTCAAAATGAATGACACACATATGATGGTATTCTCCTCTGGATATTTTTAAGTATTTGGTACCAGTGTCTCAAAGAAAGGCTACTTTTCACAAGTATCTGTAATAAATGGATGACAGGATTTTCTTATTCCTAACTGGAATCCTAATCTTGATGTTGCTTTTGTATCTATTAAGTGTGAAGGATTAGTGCCCTCTGTTAGAAAAAGTTAACAACTATTTTCATGCATTCTGAAAACAGTACAACCCAAGGTGGATTTCCTGTGTCCACAGCAAGATGAAAATGCCAACACGACCCCCCATACTGTGAGAACACAACAGATACTAAAATTGCCAATAGATCTTTACAGAAGAGTCTCTGTATTATAGGGAGCAGCCTTAGATGCTGTGAAAACTTGGGATCGTGTGCTGAAGCACAACTCCAGTAAAATTCCTCTGCATTACTGTACATCATGCCAGGTAACTGTGTGAAGTGGAGGTGGCTTTTATGGTCACTTCATAAACTTCATGGAGCATCAGGTAAGGATTATATATTTTGTTGCTTACCAGCTGTTAAGTGTTGTGATATGGAACAGCTTCTCTGCATTCACTGGTGGACAGACAGCAGGATCTTACCTGTGCCATGTAGATGACTCTGGTGATATCTCTTCCATTCACTACATCAGGTTCCAGGATCCAAGCACTTGGCAGAATCTCCCCTCTCACCACTTCTTTGCAGGGGTGAGGCATGGACGTGTCATGGACAGACTGGACAGCCAGGACTGACAAGTTCTCCTGAACATGACAAAGTGTGAAGATGACAATTTGAAAATAAAATTATGCATATGATAATGGTGTCTTTGTTTGCTATGAGGCATATGTTTCATAGCACTTACCTAAGAGATCTCTATTAATAAGATTTATTACATATATTTTGTCATAACCTTGCAAGTTTGTAACCAGAATATACTGAGTAACACTTGTGTTACTGCCCAATGGGACCTGGTTGAGGACTGTCATACACAGGAGGGCTTTATACATAATTCACTCATGCCACATCAGCATGGCTTTTATTCCTGCCACACTGCCACTTCTGGAAATATGAGCATGGGCTGTACTTCCTTCTCTCCTTTGTCCCTGCACCATGAGTTCAGAGCATTTACTCCTCTATGCTTCAGAGAGAACGGTCCCTTTACCTCTTTGGCTTCTACAGTAATGCAGCAGAAATCCCGGGGCTGCTTTAGGTAACACAGGGAGGTGTCAGTCACTAAGTATACTGTGAAGAAAACACCAAAAGAAAAAAAAAAAAGAAAGGGAATTAGGCTTTTGACAACTTTAACTTGTCCCAATTTCCCCACAGCCCTCAAATGTATGTGCATATTTTGACTGCTTGTCGTCCAAGAGCAGAGCTGTGGTTAATATGCTATAATGTGTCATTAAGATGCTTTTCCAAGCCACTTAAAATTTATTTTTGACCCTCAAGCCACTGTCTTTAGCTGCACTTCTGCACTGAGATGTGTTTAAAATTAGCCTTACTTCGGAAAACTCTGGCAAAACTGAAATCCCCATATTAAATAATGACATTGTTTATTCACACCTGAAGAAATTCAATAAGAAACCTCTAACTTTCTTCCTGGCTGCCAGGCTGAGCTGTGAAGTACCCAGTGATGCTGGTGGCCAGCTGTTGGTGCTGGTACTCACCCAGCTGAATGTGGCTGGTCACCTTCCTGTGCACCCGAGCTGTGTTGATCGTTCTGTCGTACAGGTGCCTTTTGCCAGGGTCTCTCACTAGGCCCCACACGCTGGGGAGAGGCCTTTCTATGACTCCTGCTCCCAGAAACCCGTGCCTCGTTGCTGAAGGGAAGACTTTGTAGTAAACCAGCACCTCTTTTTCTGTACACTGGTATCTGTCAGGGACAATGAAAGGTGTTTGCACACAGGAGGGCCAGGCACATAAAAGGCCTCGCCATGAAAAGTCCTCCTCTTAAAAAGACCTGCTGTGAACTTACTTCCAACCAGCTGCTGCTTGGCACATGTAGAGATTCCTCAGGTCATGAGAGCATGCTGCCATCACCTTAGAAAAGAATGACAAATGTACAGGTAAGAGCAAGTTCTATAAACTATGAATTGTGCTCAGTGCTGCTGCACTTAGCTTCTACTCATCCCACGACGCTGCCTTTACCACAGATAGCTTTACAGTGCTAGTAATCCTTAGGGAATAGTAACAGCCTGTCCCATGCTCTGCTGATGGAGAATATTTATATATAAGCCTTTCTAGCCTAAACTATTGTAAGAAAATGGGAGATGGGGGGAGCATCTGTCTCCAAATGACACTGAAGTTTTTCTACCAGTGTGAAATAAGCAGGTCACATGCTTTCCTTCTACCTACTCACACCCTGTCATAGGTGGCTGTGTACAACCTGTGCTGTAGGAATTCTTGGGCACTGGGGGAATTCAGCAGTTTCATCAGCTTCAGTCAAACACTTCAGCTAACATGCAACAGTCTCCTGAACCCCACAGCTGCAGCCTGGCTCACTCTCCCCACCACTTAAAATTGCTCAGTGTTTCTGTAGCTGACACCTGGGTAACCATCATCAGTGCAGGACAACAAGGCTTGTCCCTCCCATATTTGCTATGACCTCCAGTAGGAGATAGAGGAATAAGTGAAAAACTCTATTTATTTACTTACCTCGGTGGTAGCATTAGCCAAGACATGTTTGGATAAATCTTGGTATCCTTTTGTTGAAGAGGAGCTGGCAGAAATAGTTAATCCATGAGTGAACCCACAGCTGATGCTACTAGAGGGAAGGGGTGGCTGAATTCTGCTGGCCTCTGCAGGAAACAAAAAGCCACAGAGGAATAAAAGAAATGAAAAGGAAACCCACCACTATACCACTATTCTACTGTTGTAGGGACTTAATCCCTCCCTGGGAGCACCCAATCCACCTGATCCTGAGGAAGGACTGGGTGACAGCCCTTGGCTACACAATCTCTGTGTTAGTGATTACACTGCAGTTACCTCTTGTGTTGCTTAAGTAAATTTAATAGGTTTTACCACATAAAAGCTAATAAAATAACTTAAAGAATAGGCAACATCAGGCTTGAGGATAAAAAAAAGAACTTCAATGTACAATCCTTACCTCCACCCCCTCCCCACCATTCCTTGGTTCATTCAAAGCATTATTTTGGTAGCCTCTTAGGACACATCATAAGACCAACTTCAGAGGGCCTAAATCACCTTTTACTTTTTCAATAAATTCTAAGCAAGCTCTGGCTACTGGTTGATAGCATTTTTCCAAAGCCATGTAATGGTAGAGACATCCTCAAAAAAACTAGAACCAGATTTTGATTTTCATAAATAAGGCATCTTATTAGGCTTTGGGCTACACCTCAAACACAGGCAGACGTGTGTTTTACTTACCAGATGTTGAATCCTTCTGTAGTTGCTCTAACACATAAAGCTGACTGTTTCTAACAGCTGAACGACCTCGTGTGTCTCTTGAAAGCAATGCAGTTCCAGAAGAAACCTGATTTAAGAAAGAGAAGTGGGAGCTTTTGGTCTGGACTGGGAAAAAATGCATTGTGTTAGAGAGCAAGTAGAATATTCGTAGCAAATGTGCCTTACAAGGTTGGAAGCTTCTCTTGCTCAGGAGGTAACTCCTCAGCCTTTCCTCTGGTCAGGAAATGATACCTTGGGTCAGGAAATGTAGCCAAGCAAGTGCAGGGAGCAGGGGGGTTATTGCAGGGGGTTTGGTCTAGATGACCTTTGGTCCCTTCCCACCCAAACATTCTATTGAGGGAGGCACATGGAGCATACCAAATTCTGGTTTATCACAAGAAAAGGCTTGTTGTTTCTAAAACATTTGACAGATAGTGGCATTACTGACAAGAGCAACACTATCTGCTTTTCATCTGTGAGTTTAAAAAAGAAACAGAAACCCCTGTGTCACTGCCCTTTGCAATCACATAGTAACCCTTCCTCCACCCCACGTCACCCCTCTGGGGACTGGTGACACAAACCTGTCCAGCTTCACAGCTGTGACAGGATATGAACCACTTCAGAACAGGTTTCTGTTCTTACATATCCTGTTCTGTTCTCTGTCACTGTTGAAGCACCAGGAGCCCCCAGCCTCCCAGGCCAGCTGTTCCTCACCTGTGCCTCCTGGCTGCTGGGGTTACTGGCAGTGTACGTGGCAGTGTTACTGCTGTTGTAACCAGATGTTGGGCCAGAGGAGAGGCTGAGGCTGGAGTCTGTACATAAAGTGCTTGTACTTGCAAGAGTCTTCAGCCTCGCTTCTTCCTGCAGTGGGTATCACAGCATTACCAAAAAACCTCACACAAAACTTGCCTTGCACACAGCCAGTCAAATTGATGGTAACAACAGAGAAAGAGGAATAATTTAAAGAATATGAAAATTCAAAGAATAATTCAAAGAAGTCCAGTTTCTTTCAAGGAGTGTGGACAAGAAGCATTACCTTGCCATACATAAAGTATTAAATAAGAAGGCTCATTTGGAAGACCAAGATTATATTAACCATACAGTGAATCACCCTGTAAAACCTGCTAGTCTGGGAAAAAAAGCACCTTCTGCTGTTATTCTTCCCATACAAGAGTCCAGGCTGTCAAAGCAAGGCTAGGATGTTTTTCAGGGGAAAAAGAAGTTCCCTTCAGTCCCCTTTTTCTCCTTTTCAGTCCCATCTGTTGCTCTTTTCCTACTTCTCAAGTAGCTTCTGACTTAACTTGCTGCTCAAATGTATTTGTTAAAGACTGAAGATTTTACTTCAAACAATGCAACTACTCAATACCAGCCCACAAGATGGAATAAAAATTACATAAGAACATACTGAGAACTTCAAGATCATGGATACTTTCTAGGGCAGTTTTAACTTTGGTTTTCCAACTCAGGTGAATGATGTCTACATTTCACAAGAAAAATACAGGAGCAGATGTAAGACCCAGTCATGCAGAGGAGGTGCCTGAGTTCCAAGTGCCTTAAAGGGTGCAGAGCAATGAAAGGAGAGTTCACCACGTGTACACACATATGAGGAGAGGAGGTCTGCAGCTACAACTGAAGCTGCACTGTCAGGCAGTGACAAAGGTTACTGCATAAAAGCATAGTTAGAAACTGGGCAGAACAGGCACATCCTAACAAGCTATTGTCCTTGCATCTGGGAGAAAAATCCGACACTTGGACTGTGCAAGGTGGGTAACCAAGTGCAGAACTGAAAGCCCACAAGTATGGGACAAATACACACATGGAGGACAACCTCAAAAGAGAAACAGAAGGAGGAGAATAAAGGCTGTTGTGTTTAAGTACGTACTGAAATAAACTCTGTTTACCTTAGCAAACTCTTGCATAGGCTGGGCAGATGCCTCTCAGGATGGCTGTGCAAATTTGAGCCAGTGAGAAAACATTGAGAGTTTCTTGTACATAAAATGTGACTTCAGGAAGATGCAGTTCAGAAGCATGAACAGTATTCAGTTCAGTATTACTGAGATTTTTTTAACCACAGATTGGCACTTAGTTCTTTGGCTTTTCTATGCTGATATGTATCAAACAAGAGAATCAGCCACAGGAAAAGCTGATTTTAAATAAATGCAGTAATGTGGCTCATGCATCAAGGCTTCCTCTGCAGCACTCACCCTCTGCAGCTGGGAGGAGAGCTGCTCCCGCAGGCGCCGCTTCTCCTGCTCAGCTCTCTCCCGAAGTTTGTCCCTGGCTCGTGCAATCTCAGTTTTGGTTTCCTCTCGTGCCCTCTGGTAGTCTCGGAGCAACAGTTCAATGTCTGAGGGGTGCTGAATGCTTCTTCTTTTTGGTTCTTGAACTCTGTAAGGATAGGTAAAAGTGGGGGAAGACACACGTAACTACTTGAAATCACCTGACAAAATACCATGAGAAACTCCTCTTTCAACACAGAACAGGAAAATTTGCCAGAAAAACAATTAAAAATTATATTAGTCTCCCAAAAAACGTTTCTACTTCCTCTCTAAAGGCTGCATGGACATTAACCTTGGAAAACTCTTCAGACTGCAAGTCCAGTTTACCACTGAGATCACCCCATGATTGCACTGGTTATGCTTTGGCAAACTGCACACAGAATAAAGGTGTTGGGAAAATAACTGTCTCCTGACCTACCACAAAGGAAGCAGAAGTCATTTAGGGGATATGGCGGGGGAGGAGAAACTCAAATTCTAAATGGTGAAGGGTTGCAGAACTTTTTAGATATTTAACATGGAACTTAACTATTTCATGTGGCTTTTAAGCTAGTGAAGGAGTAAGAAGGCAGATTGGTCTATAATGAGTCAAGACTCCACACTTGGGCTGTCCCCCATCACACACAGAATAAATCAGATGCTTATCATGGACTGCAATAAACTAGACAGAAGATTTTCATGAACATTCTCTACAATCAGGGACATGTTTTTCCTGAAAGCACTTTCTATCCCAAACTTTAACCCTTCCTCATTGTTCTGCTGCCACAGAAGTCTCAGAACCATTAATATGCCCCAATTGTGAACATTGTTGCTGTGCATCAGGCCAGAAGAGAGGTTTCTACTGCCCTACCTGGTATTTGCCACCACATCCCTTCTCAGCTGCTGCAGATACTCTCGGCGTCTGCTGGGCAGATCTAGATCCTTCTGACTTGCATCCAGTGTCTGCAGCAGACTCAAATGCTTCTGAGGACTCAGACTTCGGCTTCTTTGGTATCTTTGGAGCCGTTTTTCTCTTTCCTTCCTCAGAGTTTCAATAGTCCTCATGTGTCTGTCAGGAAAATGTGATTAGAGCAATAAAATACATCCTGCAAAGTTACATTTTCTAATATTTAAATCATAGAACAATTTGAGCTGGAAGGAACCTTAAAGTTCCAAGCTCCCTGCCACGGGCTGGAACACCTCCCACTAGACAACATTGCTCAAAACCCCACCCAACCTAGTCCTGAATGCCTCTAGTGATGGGGCATCTACCACATCCCTGGGCAGCCTGTTCCAGTGTCTCAGTCCCCTCAGAGTGAAGAATGTCTTTTTAATTTCTAATCTAAATGTACCTGCTTTCAGTTTGAACCCATTACCCCTCATCCTATTACTACATGCCCTTGTAAAAAGCCCCTCCCCAGCTCTCTTGTAGGCAGATATTAGGTATTATTCGTAATGTAAAATTTATAGACATCTAATACCGTACAATCCCCCTGTGAATGCCCCTTTGGCCACATGCTGACAAATGATGCAGAAATTCTAGAACTCCACTGCTTTTAGAACAGTGGGAAATGTGTAAGAGGGTCTTGGTTTCTGCTTCTAATGGCTCAGAGGCAAACTGAGGACAGAGACTCATGCAGCTACTTCTAAATTTTCTTAGTTACAACAAGTTCCTAAACTGACTTCTATAATCTAATTGCTAAAATCTAGGATCTTGGGTTTTTTTCATTATTTATTTTTTATATTTGGGGGGGGGGGTTAATTTGTTTTTGAATATTCATACAGCAGCATTTATTCACAGAAGCATGGATGAGATATTCCCACAGAGTGCATCAATTACTTTTACATTGCAAGAAATCAATTAACTATATTCCCCTGATCAACAGGTACACATGATCACTCTCATAGCTGCTAGAAATTTGAAGAGGGATGTGACACTAGATTTTAATTAAACTGAATCTTATGATTTTCCCCATTTTCTTGAGGTAACCCCAAACTTTTGCCTTAAATGTGTTACATAATTGTGTATAAAAGAAGTGTAATACTATATCCCCTCACGTACAGTTCAGTGAGTGTGACTCAATGGTTAAGTGCTCATTACTCCACGTTCCTCACGCTTCATGAAGCGAGGGCGGGGTGTTCTCAGCACACTCCCTACCCCACCACCTGTTAAGTCATTTACCTCTCGTAGAGCTGCTGCCTGACCGGCCGGGGCAGCGGCTCCCCCAGAGGCCCCCTCGCCAGCGGCTCCTCGGCGGCCCCGCTCTGCAGCAGCCTCAGGAGGGCGTCCGTCTCCCCGATGCCGTAGTTGAGCTTTGCCTCGGCCAGCTCCACGGTGAGGGGGTGCTGGTGCAGGTCCAGGTGAATGCCAGACATGATCTGAGCACGCTCTCGCTGGAGCCTCTCGATCTCTCTGCTCCTGCTGTCCCAGAGCTGGGAGTTCCCTTCCGCTGCTGTGCTTCCAGGCTTCCTTCCAGCCGGACTTCGGAGATCGGTTGCGCTGTCGCTCCAGCTGAGCGACGAAGGAGGAGAGCTGCCCTTGACACCACACCAGTTGCTGAATTTATTGTGTACGGGCAAGTCACGCAGACTGTAGCTCCGGGGCCTGTAAAGCTTTGCAAAAGTACTGTTCTTGTGGAGAGGAACTTCAGTGTCACAGTCGCTTTCGGTGACGCAGTCTGTATTGTCATCTTGGAAAGACGTCTGCACATCGCTCCCAGCGGAGGGTGGGGGAGGGCAGCTGCTTTCATTGTGCCAGGAGAAATCGTGGAATTGTAGAGAAGATGTTTCTACCAGAGATTCTGAGGACGTGCCAGCGTTTGTCTTACTTGAACAAGTGGCGCTAATTCTTTGATTAAAAAGGAAGTTGGCATTTGGAGGTGAGGAGTAGTGAATCGAAGCACTATCAGGATTACCAACAGGCTTTTCGTGTCCAGTTCCAGCTGAAGCACCCTTTCCTCCCCTCGTGACATACATACAACGAAGCGACCGTGCCAGTGGACTGTGGTCTCTGAGATCACTTGTCAAAACTTCCCTGTGGCCCGACACCTCCAAAGTACCACTAGAGTGATACAGTCGCTTGGCACAAATGGTAGTGCGGGTGTTGACCGTCAGTCTATGCTGCCGTTCCAGGTCTTTTGAACCATCCCGTCCTAAAAGCTCTTTGGCTGCTTTCTTATCTGAGAAGCTTCCAGATTTGTTTCTCATGCTCTTGTGTTCTCTAGAAGCACTAGATTCACTGTCTGCCTCTGTCTGTGAAAAGTTGTCCACATGAGGTTGCCTGCTGCACTGTGCACCCGCCCTCTGCTTGCTCTCGTTGTGAAGGGGACTTGAAACATCATTGGGATATCCAAGAGGTTCCTTAGTAGGGCAGATGGACTTGTTATAAGCAGCCTGGCTGCTGGGGCTAGCACTAAGAGTAAGAATAGGGGAAGAGGCCCTGTCGACTAGCAGGGTGTTTTTGTAACAAAATTTTCTTTCTCCTGGAACCTCCAGTTCATTGACACTTCTTTTATCCTGAGCATAAAACGCTGGAGATTGAGAAGTGCTACCAGTAGGGCTGCTCACTACAGTGCATGAAGAACTGTCTTGCCCTGACTTCAGTGAAGATGATGTGACAGATGAAACTCTGGTACTTGCAAAACCAACATTCTGCTGTGTACTTGATGATGTCTTTTGAAACTCTAAGATAGAAGTGGAGGCTCTGGGTAAGAGAGGCAGACGCATAAAGGAGTCTTCCAAAATGCTGTCAAGGCTGTCGTGGAAGTCAGGATTGCCCAGATTTCTCATCTCTGTTTGTTCCTGTGTCCTCTCTTTAAGAGAAAGTGTTTCCTCTTTCCTTTTGGGAATCTTACCTACTACATCTGCACCTATTCCTTTCCAATCAACATTTACTGCCCGAGCTGCCCTCAATTCGTTTTCCATTTTTGCCTCCACTTGCTTTTCTTCATGTTTGCTTTGAGGTTCTTCCAAGACCTCAGTTTGAGTGCCTACATCTGCTGTAGTCTGGGTGCAGCTATCTGATCTAGTAGCCTTTACAGCCTCTTCAGTTCCTCTTTGGCTGATTTTGGCATTCTGCTCATTCTCTATCATACTCTGTTGGGAGAGGTTTCCCAACAGCTCAGAAGTGTTCTGAATGAGCTGTGACAGATGCATGGACAGGTTCTGCATGCTTGTCCAAGAAGAAGGCTGATGAAATAAATCTTTGTTTGCTTCCTGCTTTCTTGCAGAAACATCTGTATAGCTTCTCTGCTGTCTTCTTTGCCTTTTATACCTTCCTGTCGTTGCTGTTTGTGTTCCTTGCTCACATGTAACCCCTGGTTGTTTTTTGGAAGACATTTCAGACTCAGAAGGATATAATAGTACAATTTCATCAACCTGCATTGCAGAGTTACTAGGTTGAGCCAAAGGATTCTCAAATTCAGCAGTGTTGTTTCCTGGACTAGTTTTCAACGTTTCACTGGATATGTTGCTACACTGCTTAGTACTGTCACTGGAGTATGCAGACTGAAAGTCTTGTCTGACATCGTCCCATCCTTGAAGACCTTCAATGCTGCTCAAAGTGCTTGATAAAACTTTTGCTGTGGCATACGAACTGAGATGAGAATGAAATGGAGAATTTTGAGCATTCAATCCATTGTCTACACTGGAACATCTCATAACTTTACGATTTTCCAGGTTTATAGGAATTTGATTGCAGGAAACGTCACTTGCACTTCCAAAAACATACTGTTTCCAGCCAATCTTGCAAGATCCATCTCTTTGCCATGGATGAATATATGGGTTGATATCACTTGAATTAAAATGCATTGTATCTTTATTGTCTTGCAAAAATAAATCTGTTTCTGGCTGGTATCCAGCTTCGCCAACTTTCCCTTCACTACACTGAGTTACAGAACTACTCTTGGAATGGACATCTGCTTCTGCACCCAGGGAACTGTGACCTGTGTGCAGCAAGGATGGTGGAGATTGAGTGGTACAGTCTTTTAAAGACTGGCTGCTTTGGGTTCTTGCTGCAAAATTTTGTAAATTTTGTGGGTCACACTTTGCAAGCTTCTTAGTTTGTGTCGCTCTTTGCTGAAATCTGGGGCTAGATTTAACCTGTAGAAAGTTCTTTGATTCCTGCTTTGAAAATCTTTCAGTTCCATGAAGATCATCTTCAGTTGGTGATGGAGGTTCTACGCTCATATTTAAATCTTGTAGTGATTTAGATGCAGAATATAACAAAGGATCTACCTTAGATGAAGCTTCCAAACCATATTCTATATCAGAGAAGACAGCAATAGCTGGAGCTGATAGTCTGTGACTTTGTAAATAAGGTCTCTGTTCACTTTGTTTACAGCTCTTTGTATTATTCCGTGTAGTAGAATATGATCTTTTGCTCCTGAGTTGCACCAATTTGGATTCTTGAGGAGACAAATAATGTTTTTCTGGTAAAAACTTTAGGGAGGTACTTTCATTATTCTTTGCAGAAAATTTTAGTCTTTCTGACTGCAGAGTCTTATTCCTCATTATAACATCTCCTGCTGTTGAACAACTGTCAGCATCATGACTATCAATGCTTGAACCTGTATTATTTTTGCAAAGTAAAACTTCTTTTCTACCATCTGTATTTGTTGTATCTAGCACCTGTTCTATCTCTTCACCTGTAGGCACATACTGACAATTATCTTGTAGATCTGCAGGTTTTTTTCTAAAACCCAAGACAGTGTGGTACACTCGTCTGGGATCAGTGCTTCTGCTGAACGTGGGATATGTTGGACTATACGAATTGCAGGTGTGTTCAGGACCCACATCAACACCTCCTGGACACAGACTTTCCCACATTGTAACTTCTGAGCCTACTACTTCATTTGCACAATCTGAGGATACTAGATTAGTTTGCTCTTCAACAAGTTCTCTGCTTAATGTTTTTCTGTGCTCTGCCTTTACTGCAAAATGTTCAGCCTCGGTATTTGAATGCAGTTCTTCCAAATTTCTGTCAAGTAGTTTTCTCCTCTGTCCCTCTTTAACAAGAATTGCCCTTCTAGTATTCCAAAAAGGTAAAGATGGCAATAAAAGAGAAGTAGCATTTTCTACTTTATCTGTGTGTTCTGTGAAAGCTTCTTGTGGTGGAACTTTACCCCAGTGGTGCTGATCAGCTTTTCTATCGTTGTCAAATTTTTGACAGTTGCTTCCATATGCAGGTTCCCCATCTACAGCACGGTTTTTATATGGAGTAGAGTCTGTGTCTGATACTGGACAGTGTCTGTTTTCTTTTGCAAGAGACAGTAAGATACTTCCTGACGTATGCATTGGCTCATCAAACACCACAGCCTTATCAGACTGAGTGTCTTGTATTTGCAAAACAGCAAATGGAGAACATCTCAAAACATTTGCCTGTGAAATATCGTACGCGCCAGCTTCACCGTGGCCTGTGTCTGCAGTTAAAGATGATCCTGAAAACGGCGTTAGGGATGGGTGATTGACACTTGCAAGTACTTGGGGGAAATCTTCTTTTACAGAGCATGTATCTGCAGAACTGCTGGACACTTGCTCAGCCAAAAAAGTGTCATGAAATGAGTCCTCAAGATGACCAAATATTAGAGATTTTGAGTCACCTGGTAAACAAGAAGTGTCAAAAGCACTGATGTTCTTGGAGCTTTGAAATGGTGTATCAGCTGGCATCTCTTCTGCAAGGTAGGATGGAAGAGACTTTGATTCTTGACTGCCAGTCTGTCCTTGGCTCTGAAAAGTAAGTGAGCCTGACTCTGGTACAGTCACACTAGGAGTGTTACTGTAGTGTTCTGAGTACTCATGAATTTTATTTTCTTCTATGTCACTGCAGTTCTGAAAAGAACCTTGGATTATTTTCTCCTTTTGATCTGTTTCCACAACTTTTTCCAGGCGTTTACTATTCTGAGCATATGTGGCCTCTGCAACTGCAGAACTATTCTTCCTTTCACTTCCTTTTTGAGAAACATCAGCAAAAGTTACAGATATACTTAAATCAGTTGATTTACTTTCAAAGTACTTTGTTTCTTCAGAGAGAATATTATCATTTTTACCTTTGTCTCTGTTGTTGGCAATAAAAACATCTGTAGATGATGCTGGATGATTCAGGAGACCAAGAGAATGTTCAGAAGTGCCTGAGTTCCTATTATAATTTAGAAACTCTTTCCTGTAATGTGGATTTTCCCACAGAGACTTGTTCAGGACTTCTGAAGGGGTTGAAGTGTTCTCAGCAACAGTGCTGCTTGGTTGGTCTATGCAGCACTCTGTAGAAGTCCAGTGCTCCTGATTTTCTCTGGGCTCTCGCTGATACCCAGCTACACCAGGAAAATCTGCACTGCCATTTTTACTGTTTGTTGTAGTATAGCTTGTGCTTAAAAATTTCTCCTTCTCATCTTGCTGTGCTAAAGTCCCTGAGTGAAGTACTTTCTGAGTTGCATTAATACTGTGAAACGGTTTTTGCAAAGACATTTCTAGTAAAGGATGCATTTCCCCCTGCCCTCGATCTTCCACCACTTCTTGCTCTGAAGAAGACAGTGGGTTTGAATTCTCCAGGAGCAGTGAGTCAGGCACAGTGGTGCCCTTTTCCTCTTGAGCTGCATCTTCCATGGAATTAAGGCAGTCTTTTGATAGTTTATTAACCTTTAAATCCACACTCTGTTCTTCATTAGCATCGTTAACGCCCTGAATTTTATCTTCAGAAGACTCTAATTTTTCCAAGGAAAACAAGCTTCCTTTGGCCCCTTGCTGAAGTACAACAGTTTCACACTCGGGACTGCCTGCACCGTAGGAAGAGCTGTTCTCATTGACAGGTTGCTCATAAGCAGGTACACTGTTAAATACACAGGATTCTTCCTCCTGCCTGTCTTGTGTGGCCCTGGTTTGCAGAAAAGCTACTTTCTCACTCAGCATTTTAGCAGAAACATCTTTGCTTCCCCTCATTTTGTCGACGGTAACAGGCGTACCGACACAGACCTCACCCTGCAGTAACGTTTCGTAGTAAGGCAGAACAGCTCCATTTCCAACACTGATGTTGGATGGTTTTGTAGGTCCTTTCAGTGCAGTGGGAACACCTTGAACAAGATGGGAATCATCTCTTACTCCAAGATATAAAAGATGGTTTACGGACTGGCATGGAGACTCCTTCAGCGAGCCTTCTTGGTTTTTTTCAGTAGACATCAGTGTCGCTGCTGGATTTTGTTGCTTGCTGGTATCTTCACTATTTCCAGAAAAGCTGGTAGACATCCACTGGCTTTCTCTTAAGATTTCTTTTAATCTGCTCTCATCATGTGTCGTTTGGCAGCTGTCTTTGTCTTCAGGGAACAGTTCGTTCAGGTGTTGTAAAATGATCAGTTCTACCTCCTCTGTGTTTTCTGCAGACATCTGCTTTTCTTTGTCTGTTTTGGCCATTTGTACTAGATTCATCAGAGGCACTTTCTCCTCCTTCACTCTGGAACCTACTGGATCCAACTCACAAATATCAGATCTTTTTCTAACAATACTTGCATTCAAGTCTTCTGAAGTGCCATGCTCAGGATATTGCATAGAGCAGCTCATGTATGTATGGCTGTCCTCTTTAATGTGGAGACCTTTAAATTCTTGTTCTATTCTATATTGGTCAATACCTGTACCAGCATCAACCAAATATTCACATGCATCTGTATCTTTCATGACTGCATTTCTTGTATCTGTAAGAGAGTCCACTGAGCCACCATCTTCACTCATTTCAGTAGGATCATGGTAACTTGAATCATCTTCTAACAGTATATTCTCCTCTAGTCCTGAAGCTGTCAGGTATCTTTCAGGGATCTTAAACGGATTTAAAATTTCCTCTTTGTCATCTGTGTCACAATACATCTGATGTAGAGCTGGAGACTCCTCAGTAAATAAAACATTCTCATCTGTGCATATGACTTCTTGCCTCGTAACGATCAGCCCGTCAGTGTTCATCAGGGTAATTTGTTCTTGGCTCCCAGTCACTTTACATTCATTAGCCTTGTCTTCCTGGGGCAAACAGTTTGGTACACAAGGTTCAGTTAAATTGCTAGAGTTTAACTGTCCCTCATTTTCAGGTTTTGCTAGAATATTTCCATGCCTACTTGTGATTAATACTGTTGCAACTACATCCTCTGTATTAAACGCATTTTCTATTGTTTGGTTCATCTGTAAAAGCCCCTCACAAGTATCAAGGAAGCCTGAAGTACTCTGAGTATTATCTGTTGGGTGGGAAGACACAGCTGAAGGAGTGTTTTGGGGAGCAACAGAAAACTCTGGTGCATAAACACCTCTATCTGTTTTCTCCCTTTTTTCTTTTTGGCAAAAGCTGCTTGTTTCAAGTTGGCTGCCAGAACGCACCAGTGCTTGTGATCCCTGAGTGTGCTCTGCCCTGGTGCTGCCTACCTCCAGTTCATCTTTCTCCACCTCTTCATGTGTCAGGCACAGATTTGTATAGAACTCACATTGAACCTCACAAGCTACAATATCAATAGGTTTCTTTGGATTCTGAGATAGACTAATGCCTTTAAAATCCTCTCCACTCCTGTCTTCAGCTACACTTTGGACTTGGACTACTGGGTAGTCAGGTAAACTTTCAGTCTGTCTGGATTTAATTCTCAATGCTTCTTTATCTAATTTGATTGCACAATTCATTAATTTTGTTAATTCTTCATCAGGGTCTGCTTTTGTATTTTGGTAAGGGACTATAGTTTCTTCTGAATCAGTTTCTGGGTTTCTTAAAAATTCGGATTCTTTATTTACATACAGACTCTCTTCTTGAGAAGCAGTAGCTGACATATTTGTGTTGTATTCAAATACTCTTCCCAGCTTTGAGTTTACACCATCTTCAAGCAAGATATCCTCTTGGCAATCACTTTCCAAAAAGGCTTCTTTCTCTTCCCTTGGTTCAAGTAAAGATTTATTCTTTGTTTCTGTTTCCAAGAGACTGGTTGCATCAAATTCCGCAGAAACGTCGGTCACCTTACACATACAGTTCTTCTGCCCTGTTGATTTTGAAGAGGATGCTGTGCACAGGCAGACAGAACGTACATCACAACAACTTCTGGTGGTGCTGACTTCCACAGAAAGATTAGATGTAGCATTGCAATCTCCCTTCACTACTGTGCCATGCTCCACCAGTGTATCATAATTTTCAGTCTCAGATGCACTCTGAAAAAGATCTGCTTTTGGTGAACCTTTGTAAAACATGCTGGAGTTGGCCTCTGGGAGAACATCACTTGTGCTCTCACCAATAGCAGCAGGGAACAACTCAGTGTCTTTTCCATTTCCGTTCACTATGAGATAACTCATTTCATTTATCACTAAGTTTTCATATTTGGATGAAGATTCTTTCTCAGCTACAGACTGAGCATTCAAGACATTGTGTTCTTCGCTTCCACTGCTTTCTTCTCTTCTATTATCAATGCACAATGTAGAATTTTCTGAACTCTGTTGGGATAAGCAACTTGCCTGACTGTCTGCTAAAGCACACTCATGGGGATAATTTTTTGAAAGAGGTTTTCTTTTGAATTCATAATGATTCAGTAAAGACAAGTCTTCACCCTTTGGCTCACATTCTTCAGTGTCTCTGAATGAAGGCACCTCTGGTGCAATATCTGCCAAGCTATCTATGCTAGATTCCATACAGAAAATCTCTTTTTGAGTCATCTCTATTGGCGCTGCAGATTGGTCGTAACTTGTGCTGCGAGCAACAACTAAAGCGTTACATTGATACGTTGTCTTCTGTGAGGAAACACCTGTCTCTCTTGTTTCTTCTGCAGATATTCGTTCACAATCTGTTTCTTGTGTTGTTTCCAGATCACTCTCCCCAGACCTGAGGAGGCCAACTGCAACAGCTGATTCTGCTCCTTGGCCAGAGAATGTCTGAAGCTCATAACTGTTGACTAGAGAATGGTTCTTGTTTTTTAAGTCACTGAGAAAGAAACCTTCATCACAATATGTTGGTATCTCCCTTCTTGGAAAAAGCTGCCCATGGCTTCCAAATTGGGCTTGTTTTACCTCTGTTGAGGTCATATTATGAGCAAGTCCTGTAGAAAATTCAGCAGCAGGTGCACTGACAGATGCACTTCCACTGCCTGAATCTGTTGTACTTGATTTTGTCACCAATTTATTGTAGTCACCATCGAGGTCATCTTTTTCAAAAGTTCTGAAGAAATCATCCTCGAAATCTGCATCTACACAGCCATTTTTCTGCTCTGAGATTTGCATAGGCAACACAGAAATAAAAGGTGTCTTTTCCAGACTGGGATCTTGCGTCAGCTCTGGAGGAGTTATGGGGAGAGAATTCTCCTCTTTCCTGGATACCAGTGACAAGCAGTCTGCAGTGGAGGCACTTTCCAAACAGCTGAACGTTTCCGTGCATTCCGTGGTAGACATGTAAGTAGATAATTCATTCAGTTGTTCTTGTTCAGGATGATTTGACCTTGAATGTTTGTAATAATCATGCTTTGCTGAAACAGGAACAAAAGAGGAGCTTGGTCCTACTGAGCTAACAAATGAGGACATTACATTTTGAGATTCCGAGGAAGAATTTTCATTAGAATCTGTCCATCCCTTAAGAATCTTATTTAACAATCTACTCTCAGAAACCCTGCTTGCAGTTGCTGTTGTTTCAGGTAAAGGTACTTCTGATGTGTCAGAGGAGAAAACTGTGTTTAATTCATTTATACGATGTGAGAAGTGAGTAATGCTGCGTATCTGCTTAGAGCCAGAAACAAAAGCAACTTCAGCAGCTGACTGCTTTAGTTCATCTTTCCTTAGCCAAAGCTCTGGTTTGGAGCACAAATGAGCTTCTTGAAATTCCAAATTTGCATGGGAAGAAGGTGCTGTTATTCTGGGGCTGCTGAAGTCAACCTTTGAGTCACAGGAAGACCAAGCATCAGTAGTAAGCAAAGGATTTCCGCTTGCACAATACAGTCTTCTACCACGAGACCTTTCTTGTTCTACAAAGGAGACTTTTGTCCCCTTCAGCAACTGCTTGCAAGCATTACTGGAGGCAGGCTGTGGTTTAGTGTCCAAATAAAAGGAACTGCTCAGCTTCAAATCGTAATTTGTCCCTTCTGTATCTCTGTCACAGGCCTTGGACTCATGCTCTTCCTCAGTCTGCACAGTTGGTGATGTAGGGGTTTGTAACTTCCAAAAAATCTCCGCTGGCACTTCATCAGAGGAATCAGATTTGGATTCTTCTACTGGATCTTCTGCTGGCATCTCTTCTCCATCAGCCAAGCTGTCCAGAGAAAAGCTTCTTTCAGGCTTTCCCAGTCCCCTTCGAGATATGTAGGTCACCAGAGGGGAAATAGGGTGATCAGTTCGGCTTTTGTAAAGCTTAGCTGGCTCGTGCGGGGCCTCTGACTTGTGAAATCGGCTCTTGCTTTGCTTTTTGGCTTTATTTTCCTTTTCTATCAGAGAGTCTTGTGACATTTGACTGTCATCGCTCTCAGAATCCTCTGGGTTGGCAAGACACCTGTTTCTGTCAAAATCCTCTTGTTTTGGTTTCTCTGTGAAAGCTTTCGCATAAGCGCAGGAGAGAGAATCTACAGAATAGGAACTGTCAGTATCAGAAATCTCATTTTCATCATCCTCTTGCCAGTTGCCCAGCACATCTGTGGCTGTTTTGGACACGCCAGCACTCAGCATCTCAGCACTGTGCCACTTTTTCTCTACATAAGAGAGTGGTGCCTGTGTGTTCATCTTCGTGAGGTTTCCTACTGATGTTGCCACCATCATAAATTCTTGCTGTTCCACTGATGACTTCTCATGACCTGGCAAGGCTGAGTTTGGTGCTCTCTTCCAGTTCTTGGCTGTCTGGTTTAGATGGACTGATGGTGGGTTTCCAGACACCACTTTCTTCATTTCCTTAGGAAAGTTTTCTGCAGAAGACCTGTGGCCTTTTCCATTGATATCCATGCTAGTCTTTTTATTGGCTACCTGAGCTCTATTTTGTTCTAGATTGCTACTTGCAGGCTGACTTAGATCTCTTAGCACCTTTGCTTTTGTCATTCTTTTCCCTGTAATAAAGGTTTCAGGCTCATCTTTCTCCTTAAAAAGATCAAGAGAGGAGCCTTTAGAGGTCTGGGTTTGAGATCCAGCTTGCCCTGGGTTGTCATCCAACATTTCAATTTTTTGATCATTTTTATTGATGTAAGCCATGGTAGCTGAATCATTAGAGTCTTTTTCTGCTCCTTTTTTATTTCCAAATGAAGATGTTTTCTGTTCTTCAGTTAGCTGCCTCTGGACTGAAAAGGGGATCCCTTTTTCATCATTAAGGTCATCACTCCCAGAAACATCTTTACCTCTTTTGTAAAGATGTTCTACAGATGACAACCTCCACTTTGTATTGCCTTCACAGCATTGATCAGTATTTGGTGAGGTAGATAACTCTGAGACAGTCTCCCCATTCAACAAACAGCTGTGGAAATAAAGAAGAAATAAAGCCTAGTCATCATTTGGATAATGTACTTAACAAAACTGCCACATCAGAGATGTCTTGTAGTTAAGAGTAATAATACACCAAGTAACAATCTTAATGCCCTTCAAAATCAAATTCTAGCAATGAATAAATAAAACAAACACATACAAAATTCTCCAGTAACCATACAATCCCCCAGATATCCTAAAATCTGTTCTGCAGCACAAAAGAATTGCTCCATGCTGTGTGTTACACCTTGGTACCTAGTCTCTGTAGGCTGAAGTAGCTGCAAACATCAGTGAAAAATAAAGGATTGTTCTAAGTCACAGAAATCTACTTAGCAGAGTTTAGCTATTTCCTGTCACTAGGACCATGCTGTGATAGACAACCTGGCACCCCAACTTCTTAGAACTCCATAGAGATGTTTATTCAGCTTGAGAAAGGCTGGACAACTTAGGAGTCCAATCCAGAATCACCTCAGGTACTCTGAAGGAAGAGTTTGACCCTAATCAGGATAATACGATGCAGAAATTAGTATTTACCAACAGTTTGAACAAGGTAAGAACAAGAGTTAAGCTGGCTCTGGAAAGCATTCACAAGGAGGTAAGAAGTGCAGAAGGGCTTGAGAGACCAATGTAGAAGATGGTGAGAAACACCACATCTAAGAGCTAAGCATGGAATGTACTGTGTAGGTCAAACAGCTCTGTTGTGATATGAAATACAGTTAAGTTCGCAGACATTGCAAGTTCTGGGATTGTTTTACTACACTGAAAGGAATGCTGTGTTACAGGTGGCCACTGAAATTGCCTTGAATTAATTTAGTTTTCAGTGTGCAGAGGAACTGGCAGATGTTAACTCACCTGGGTACCTGGGGCAGATGTGGAGTACAGAATGAACGCTGCCTGTGCTGCGAGGAACCTGAACCCAACGACTTCCTTCTCTTTTGCAACTGGTGATCCAAAGCGGACCAAACAGCAGTGTTTTCATTTAGGACTTGGGATTGCTTCACACACTCTTCACTGAGCCAGCAGCTAGCTTCTAGCTGCTCTAGGTTTTGCTTGGCTTCCAATAACTTCTGCTTCTTGACTATTCTTTCCAGATGGAATTTGACCTTCTTCCGTCTTATGTTTCTTTCTGCCTTTTTTAAGGAGTATCTCTGCAAGAGCTCCAGCTGCACCAGCCTCTTCTTGTTCTGCTGCAGCAGGGAAGGGCAGATTTCCAGCCCAAACGTACTCTGCACCTCGGCCTCTGCATACAGCGTAGGCTCTGTTTGCACTGCAAACTCCCTCTGCTGTTGCTGAAGGGCAGCCAGTCGTTTATTCTCATTTATAAGCCACTGCTGGTCTGTAAACAAAACAATGATTGAAAGAAAGTAAAAATTGTAGGAAAGGCTTTTTTTACTGTCTTGTTTCTTAATTTAATCAGCCTTCAGAGCTCATTTGAGAACAGAATTTCTGTGCACATAGCTCAGAGTCTTGACAAACTATTTTCCTTGTTCAAGCTAAACCAGAACCAATTCTCTGCTCAATGACTTTACTTTTCAGCTCAGTCTTTTCTAACTAAGTGCACTTTCTGAAGGTAATGGCATGCTTTTGCAGACACCACCTGCTAGAAGTGTAGTGCTTGAGTTACTACCACGGGCTGGCATGTGCAGAAAGGCTCTTGCTTACTTGCTCCTACAGAAACTTTAGGTCACTGCTAAATCTTGGTACCACTATGGAGTGCCATGCATGAAAGGGTTGCAGGTAAAAAAGTCACACCTGTGGGAAGAAGAAGACAGGAGAGGTGACCCTAAACTGACCAGCGAGGGCATATTCAGTATAAAGCTGAAGCATCACAATAGTCAAGCTCTCTTCTTTAATGGCTGACATCCAAGGAGGACTCTGTTCATTCTTCTGCCTTTGAATCCAATCCATGAGTCCCTGAAACCTCTTTTTCCTGCTGAATCCAGTCTGAGACTTCCCCAGTGCCTGCCCTGCATCAACAGTGGTGGTGTGACCATCACTGGGGGATTTCAATATTGGCATTGTATGTATTTAATTATTTTCTTATTAATACTATCTTTTTACTGTTACTGTTTCATTAATGCTGGTTTAGTTGGTTTTTTGGGTTTTTTTTTTTGCAGCCCATAAGTCTCTCTCCCTTATTTCCTTTCCTTTCCAGGAAGGCAGAGGGGTTAATAGAGAGAACCAGTCACTTGTTTAGTGGCCAGCCCAGCCGCAAGCCTTGGCAACTATTTAGAGAAAAATGTATTATTGCTGCACTTTATGGATAAGGAAGAGCCTCCCCACTAAGATAAGGAACTGAGTAACAACTGTGAGATATAAGCAAGAGCTTGGCTGATACAGCTAAGGACACTGGTGGATAAGACCTTGTTCATAAGCAAAAAGTAGGACACATTTGAATTTTTCAAAGGTTACATTCAAACACCACCTCAATTTTGTTACAAAGTGGAAGTGTTCGAAGGCTTGAATTCAGTTCTGTGCTCTTTCAGACAGAGGGTTTAGACTCATTGTAGGAAAGCACGACTTCATTACCTTTTTACTGAGAAATATGGTCCTACTTTTGCTTTAATTATTCTGAGGTCACATGTTCAACTTGGTGTTACTTAGGGAATGAAGGTATGTGCACTGAGAGTAGAGTTAACAAGGGAACTATAAGAGGAGGTTGTACAGAGCTAAAGCAGCAAATGGGATTTCATGTACACACTAATGAGCCTTGGGCTAATAAATGCCCACATTTTCAATGAAAAAATAAGCACTTGTGCTTTGAAAAAATAAGCACTTGTGCTTAATAAAGTATTACTGGTGTTTCATCACACCATTTGAGTGGTTTATGTCCATACTAAACCAAATGTTCTTCTCTGTGCCTTTTGCTTCTTTCCTCTTTAACTTGACTGAAGCAACAAAAAGCACCAGCAAACTATTTTCCCTCACTTACCTTGGCATGCTGAAAATGAAGGAGCCCAGAGCCATGCTAAGGAGCTTCTTCAAGCACAGGAAATGGCACTTCTTGTGCTCATCCTTATCAGTGGCAAGTTCAGTGAGCCTGAAGGCTAGACCATGCTATGCCCCAGCTGGGAGGTGCCTCGTTGCTGGGGGCAGCTGCCATGCATGTGGCATGGCCATGAAACCTTCAAAGTGGGTTGAAGACAAAGCTACATGGAAGCCACTGCATAGACACCTGCTGGACAGTTCTGCCAGCCTCCCTAAACCCATCAGATGGAAACTTCTGAAGCAACACAAACCCTGTGTGGCACCTGGCTGAGGCAGAACCACCACAAACTTAATTCCTGTTGCAACTATGGCTGCTCTAGCAAGCACTTGCCAAAACAACCTGATGGAAGCCCACGTATCTTGTACATGAGCACTTCAGCATGTAATGTACTTGAAATAAGTCAAATGTTCTCATGGCAAGGACACAGGTGAAGCAAACACAACTGTTAGCTACCAGGACAAATGTAATCCAAGCCAGACAAGCTTATACCACCAAGTCATTGCATAATTTTTTATAAAATCATCATTCTACTCCACAAAGGGAGTTAGCTTCTCTCCTGTTAATGTCCCCCACAGTTAACAAATGCCAAATAGGCTCACAAACCAACTGATTAGCCTAATTCAATAACTAATTATGTTACCCTTGCTTACACACTTAGTTTTCTCTAAATATTCAGAACCTGGTCTTTGTGGTCAGTGGGGAAGCAGTAGAGAATGCAGAACACCATTCTGATTTGCATTTAACCCTGGATGCAAGACTACTTTATTCCATGTATGGGATGTGCTTCCAGGTTCATCAGAGTGCACTGGCTCCAGTCTGAGCTATGATGAACTGTAATAATCACAAGAAGGGATTACTGAGATCACCACTGCCAGATTGTGTCTGGTGGCTTGGACATGTTCTCTTAACAAAGCAGTGTGTTCACTTTTTATGCTGCTATAAAACTCTACATATTCAGTTGCACAAAACAAACAAACAAACAAAAATCCTTAGCTGAAAATCAAAGTAAAAATCACACACAAGGTTCCTGGAAAGGTAGAGCATTTCTCAAAGGACCAAATATTTTCAAAGCACTCCTGTTTTACTAGCAGCAACAATTTTTTTGGCTAGGCTTCCCTTCAATCTGTAGTCCTTTACTGAGTAAGCAACACTTTGTTGTTTATTTAGGGGGTTAGGAATTAAGAGGTATTTGTCTGATGTGATGAAGGGGGGCTACCCACAGCTTTGCACAGCTGAGCTGCAAGGGAGGAATTTGGGGCTGTGGAAGTTTCCCTGATGTGAGAAATCATTAGTGCAGAGGCACTGCCAGCATCACGTGCATGGTGATTACTGACCTTGTGAAACACACTCAACAATGTGTGAGTGCAGCCCAGAAAGCCAACTGCACCCTGGGCTGCATCAAAAGAAGTGTGGCCAGCAGGTCAAGGGAGGGGATTCTCCCCCTCTACCCTGCTCCTGTGAGACCCCACCCGGAGTGCTGTGTCCATCGGTGGAACCACCAACACAAGAAGGACATGAACGTGTTGGAGCAGGTCCAGAGAAGGGCCACAAAGATGATCAGAGGGCTGGAGCACCTCTCCTGTGAGGACAGGCTGAGAGAGTTGGGGTTGTTCAGCCTGGAGAAGAGAAGGCACTGGGAAGAGCTTATTGTGGCCTTCCAGTATCTGAAAGGGGCCCACAGGAAAGCTGGGGAGGGACTTTTTACAAGGGCTTGTAGTGGTAGGACAAGAGGTAATGGGTTCAAACTGCAAGAGTGTAGATTTAGATTAGAAATTATGAAGTTGAGGGTGGTGAGACACTGGAGCAGGTTATCCAGGGAAGCTGTGGATGCTCCATCCCTGGATGTGTTCAAGACCAGGTTGGATGGGGCCTTGCACAGCCTGGCCTAGTGAGAGGTGTCCCTGCCTATGGCAGAGGGGTTGGAACTAGATTATCTTTAAGCACCCTTCTAGCCCAAACAATTCAATGGTTCTGTGATTAGTGACCCCTACCACAATGAATCTCCTGTCCTGTTTATGTTGGCAGCTCTGTGCACAGCACACACACGGAAGTAGCAATTCTGTGGTTATAACTCTATGGTTACTACTCTGTGGATAAAAGGGAAGGATTTTAGTAATTATTTTAGTTCGTTCTTCTTAGTAACATTTTTAACTTTCACATATGAAGCTTTTTTTTTTTTTTAACCTTTTATTTCCAGGTCTGTTCTCTTTAGCACATTTCTAGCAAGTGGAATATTTGGCAAATACAACTTTCCCTGCAACAGAGGTTCAAGTTCTAAGGTGCTAATTAATCTCTGCTCACAAATTTGTCTCTGCCAGGAGCTGAGGCACAGAGGGCATAGAAAAGCTGGAGAACTTCAGTGGGTTGCCAAGTGAAGAATTGCATTTGGCTGGCAAAAACCACCTGCCTGGCTAAGCTTCTCATGAACACAGCAAAACCAGCAGAATGAGACAGAAGCTGAGTCTACAGAGCCACAAAACAAAGGTATTTGGGGGGAATTGCACTGGTTCTCTGTACTAGCCATCTATCCGTCCTAAGTCCATTTCTGCTACATCCCATACCCACAATTTCCTTTTAATCTCTTCATTGTAGTTAGTTAGCAGACCACATAAGTTTGGGTTTCAGAAGATTCCCAAAATTCAAAGAAGTTTTCTTCTTCCAGGAACCAGTAGCAGGTCTTGCCAAGTGGGAATGGTGCCCTTGTAATAGGTGTACTTTGCTTAGCAAGAAATCTGCATCAAATAATTTATTAGAAGACAGAGTAGAGAACACTAACCACCCAACTTCAGTGGTTAAAACATCTCAAGGTCTAAAATGTTCCTAAATCAGTCTATAAACTCATTAAGGGGCCACCCAACTCCAACAAAACATCTTGCTGAATGTGTCTGCTGGCATGCAAACAGCACCTCTGGGGGCCAGGAGCTACTGACACTAAAAAATACCTCTCCAAATACACTGTGGCTCCACCTTCTGACATAGCTACTTGCCAGTTGAAATCTGTAACTCATCTAGCCTTTGGTACTCTTCCATGATCCCGTAGAATTCCCTAGAAATAACTCCTATTTGAACCAAAGCATCCCTCTCTTCTTTTACACCCAGTTTTGCATTAAAACAAATTCAGCAGTGGAAAGTGCAACATCACTAATGAATCATCTTTAGGGTAAATGAATCCCACATCTTATTTTTAATCTTAATATGTTGTGCTTCAGTTTCTACCACAGAATATCTTCATACTTATTTCTTAATACTATAAAAAGGGCAGGTGGGGTGGGGTGTGTGTCTGTGGAAATATTGACTGTATAAAAACCAGTGCAACTCTCTTTCTTTTAATTGGAACTGGGATCTTAGCTCTGAACTTCAGTATCCCACCTACTGCTCAGATGTGCTTGCTTTGTTTTTGTTTAAACTCAGAGCAACCCCAGAAAATCCAGTCTACACTGTGGTGTTATGTCATGGGCTTTTTTTCCTAATGAGTTACAGGTGACATTGTCACTGAAATGTGTAAAGAGGGTACTCCTACTGACACACACTGCTGTCTTGGAAGTGCTGCTTGTCTCCTATTGCATCCTGTTGTTTGAGCAGTTTCTCCTGAAAGCCTCTGGTGGGAACTACCAAAGTCATCCCAATTTCAATCTCCCACAACAACTCATTAGATGAAGCACAGAAAGATCACAAGAAAAACTTAAAACCCAATAGCAGGCTCAGCCTACGCTGCAACATGGCAGAGCTGCACTACAGGTGGGAGCAAAGCAACAAGGAGGCAGGATGGGGAGCACCTTTGGAGACAAGAGGCTCAGAACCTCCCAGCAGCGACCTGCAGAGCTCATTGAACAGTGCTGCTGGTGCACTGTGAAGAAGGTCCTTTAGTGCTGTTAATCAAAGCTTAATCACTGTTCTCAAGGGAAAGGCAGTTATGAAAGAAAACTAGTAATAAGCCATAATAAAAGTTCAGCCCATAATATAAAGCGTAACTAGGACCAAACCATCAAGAGGATGAAGGAATGAAGTAATGGAAGTGAGAGAGGGGAAGAGGCAGGTACCCACTTTCTTGGATCTGCTGGTTGATTAGTGCTTGGTCATTTTCTAGCTCCCGCTCTGCTTTTATCTGTCCTCTCAGGATCTGCTGCTTTAAATCCTCAACATACAGCTGCTGCCGTTGAATTTGTCTTCTGTGGAAAGCTTCCTGCTCTCTCAGTTTCTGCTTGTACTCTTCATGCACAGCATCTATTTCTCTGCTGTTAAGAAATGTTGACAGTGAGTTTAAACCAGAAACAAATACCAAACATTTGTAATAAAGCAAGTCATATTACTAAATACAGACAGAGAACACTGAAGCTGTCACTTTGCTTGGTAAGAGTCCATCATGACAACAGATGGTGATGGTAAAGTAGCTGTGTATATACATATCACAGCAGGTTACATTCCTCTAAGTATCATAAATGCCAGCAAACATGAAAGCTCTTGTGGTGAAGCAGAAAACTCCATCATCAGAAAGATAACAGCAAAAAGAATTTTCAAAATACTGTCATTTTTAATTTTGCTGTAGCTCTTAAAAAAATTTCATTGGGAAAGGGGGGTCATTTATACATTATAAAATTTTATAACTGCTATATAGGATATTTGTCATCTAAGTACTTGAAAGTCCTTTACAGAAATGACAAGCATCCTGCTCTGTTTTCAGATCAAAAAAATCTCCAACCTAGAAAGGGTTACAGGCATTGTGGAGATTCCACTGACAGTCTCTGGCAGTACCAAGCAAAGAACTTGATCTCCTAATTCTCTGCTGGATGCAACAACTATATTAGGTTGTATCTGTATCTGGAGCAGAACTGTGATCAGAAAAGTGACTAAGCTGTGAAAAAATGCCTTACAGTCCCCTCCAAGATCTTTTGTTCCTGAGTGTGTGCCAAAATTTTACATACCTGCACACACATACAGAGAGTAACAATCAAAATAGTATCTATTCTTAGCCTGATCCATGATCATGCTCAAAATATGTTATCCCTCTGAGAGGAATAGATATTCTACCTGTCCACATATTATCATCAGAAATTCTTCGTTATATTACATATAAAGATGATATATGATCTTTGCATGTTGTTTTGTTTCTGAACACCTCATTATTATATGTAACCTCAGAAAATTAAGTTTTTAAGTCTTGGGAAAAAAAATTACTATATTTTAGTAATGAAGCAAATGATGCATTTATTATAATGACGTATTTATTATGCTTTTAAAGAGAACGAAGGTACCAAAACTCCTGAGTCCCTGAAGGTCAAAAGAAAACAAAAAATATCATTTCAAAGGGAATGTTTCAGAAACATCATGTTGTTTGTAAAACCATTACCAGTACAAGGTCATCTGTATGAAAAGAGCATTTGACCTTTGCTACATAGGAATTAATTTGACATCTCTATTCAGAACCATAACCATGTGTTCAAAGCAACCATTTCTACAGCAACAACTTTGAATCTGCGTGCTAATTAGCAAACAAAACCATAAGCAACAATTAAGCAGCCAAACTCTACAGATTTTCTGGAGTACCTGGTACATGGAACATACATTTCACTTTCTTATGAAGCAGGGGGAAAGCATCACTGCATAAAAGCCTCACTACATAATAATTTACAATATTACTGTGACTTTCTTTTGCTCATCTGGGGAAAACACAATTCAGTTTGGTTTTAATGTTTATGTAAAAGTAATGCTCGTGGGAATAACTGAAAAGGAACATCTTCTGTTCAATCTTCTGGCATGCTGCAAACAGTCAAGAATACAAACTTTGCTACTGTCATCTGCTAAATGGTTTGTGTCTGTTTTGGACCCAAAGGAACAAATTAGAAGAATAGGCAGCTCCAAGATCTATTTGTCCTTGGCTTGGCTACAAAGATGCCAACGATCTGTGATTTGTAATTTTTGCCTCTCAGGATAAATTTTAGTTGATCCCCAGGAAATAGGAGTGGGACGCCTCATTTCTCATTCAGCTGAGGCAGGTTTGAGTTGACACTTCACTGCAGCACTGAAACACTAGTGTGGCCATTACAAATCTCATTCAGCTGTTCAGGTATTTGTAATGCCACCAGCTACCGGGGGACAGACTCAGAGGTTAAAGCTACACTGGTTAACTAAAGAAGAATCACTTTTTGAATGCAGTATTAAAGCTGAAGGATCTTGCTTAGGAAAAGCTCCCATGGTTCTAATGATGACTCTGAGGGAGGATTTCCCTGAATGCGGCTCCCAAATTATCTTCCATATTTTCCAAAGGATATGTAACAGAGCAGCCATGTCACCTGGAGGTTAAAACACTGGTCTGAGACAAAACCTTTCTGATTTTGGAGCAGTTACATCCCCTCTGTGCTTTCACATACTTAGGCTGCAGGGTCTTCAGGGCAAGGACCATTTTTGGATGCCTTATGCACTAAATCTATCAGAGCCTTGATGTCAAGCTGAAGCTTCTTCCTGATACATTAAAACGAAGAAACCTTGATAGCAATTGCAAATGCTAAGTCTCTGTGCATGCTGTGTTTCTGGAGTAGTCTTTAACCTGTTTTGCTAACAGATGTATAAAAGCTCTGATTCCTGTGGTGGTATGAGAGTTGAAATACATGAGTCTAAATTTGTTACTGGACAATTGCATGACCTTGGGCAAGTCACTTGGTCTGAGACATATGTGAAAGAAGCAAAGTACATTCATCCAAGAGGAGTGATGAGGATCCATTAACATTATCAAATATCAGAAAGTCAGGAGCTGATTTCTACTCATTTATCACCATTAACACCATTCTGTATGAGACTGAAGAAGCTGAGTAAATCACGGCAAATAAAGCTGAAAAGAATTCCTCTTACAAAATGCCTCATATTCTTCCTAACCATGACTTTTAGCTCCCAGCTAATTCCTTTCCATAAAATCAACTTATGGGATTTCAGACTGTTTCCAAATTAAACCCCAGAAGATTTAAGTATATGAAACAACTCAGGGCTCCATATCAACCCAAAGACCTCACAATGCTCACAGAGGTAACATCTGTTTACAGCTGGGAGAGGGTCTCGAGCTCTTCCCATACTTTCCAACAACGCTGAAACCACCCCACCCCCATGTATTAGGAAGTATGAGAGAATAAGCCACGCAGAGAATGCACATGGAAGTGCTGTTTGCTGTTCTCAGCAGCACTGTGTATTCCCTCATGTGTGTGCTAATGGCTTTTTGCTGAACTAACATGAAACTGTAAGATCCTTTCCAGCAGGCATGTGTGTCTGCACACGGAGCAGAACATGATGCAGGCCAACCTGATGTTACTAATCACAGCTCCATACTCTGACTACACCCCAAAAAGGCAGAGTACAGAGGCATATCCATACTTCAATTTAAACCTTGCAAACCCAAACACAGCACAGCAACCACGGTAGGGTTATTGCTGCTTTTGTTCTGGTGATGTAGCTCTAGTTGGTACAATTCCCTCCCTCTAAGGTTAAAGTTTCTGTAATGAAATACTCTTGCTGAAGGTATATACACAAATTACAGTTCTGCTGCTATTTCAGTGCCTCTTCGCCTCACCTTGTAATTTTTAATATTATAAAACAAAAACCAGGCAGGGCACTAAAATAGACCTGAATTCAGAGATAAAGCATCAAAAATCTTTTTGTGAAGTTGCTCCTTAGAGATGGTTTTCTCAAGTGGAACAGAAAGATAATGAAAATTCATGCAGAGCCACTTACATAACACAAGTGTGCCAGAAGATGTTTTTCCTCTGGCCGTGAGACTACTGACTGTGAGAGCAAAATGACTGGCTGTTTGGGTTTGGGGTACAGATCTGCTCTCACAGAAACTGCTGAAACCAAGAACATGAAGTAAGAATGCCCCTTTTCTCCCTTTGAACACGCTATGTCACATCAACATGTTCTCACTGATCTGTGAAAACAGCACAACAAACTTAGCTAAAAAATAACTTGATGTTGGCCCAGAAAGGAAATAACAGATTCACACACACTCCGTAGCTAGATCACCTAATGGACAATTAAAATAATAACCACTTTTTCTAATACATGTTTGAATTATTAAGCTAAAATCAAATATTAATCCAGTCAACCTAAGAATTTAGCCCTATTCTGTAAGAAGTACATGAGCTCACTAATTTTTTTCCATCTAAAACATCTTAAATCAGATGTACTGTTAAATTCAGACTTGAAATACAGGAATATTATGAGATACAGGAAACAAGAACAGACTAACCTCTGCTATTGCTTGTATTCCTTCCTTCCCACACAAACAATTTACACTTGGTATAGTTCTAGCAAAAAATACTATAACCTCAGGACAAACATAAGACAAACAGTTTCATTTCTGTAGGTATCAAGACATACATAAAATCCTGGTTTCACAGGACTGGCATACTCTGGTACACAACAAATAAAAAGCAAAAAGAACTCTGCATAGAATTTCATAAAACATGCAGATTTCTAGGTGTACCAAATGCATCAAGAACTGTCAGCAGTTACCCCTCCTTAAAGTAAACCTTTAAAAACAGCAAGTAAAATTACGACAACAGAAAGACACAAACCTTAAGCTAATCAGAAATTACTGAGAAAATGTTCACACTATACCAACGCTGCCGGATTGTTTTTCCATCTCAATTTCTCTCCACAAAGTTTGCATGATGCATACTAAATGAACCATCTGTAAATCCACATTTTTTCCAGCCTGTTTTGTCGTCAGCTCTCCGGGATCCTATTGTGCAATTCTCCTCCCCTCTTCCCCAAACACTTCTGCTGCTGATGCAGAGGCTGGCGGCTGCTACAGCATAATGCAGTTTTCAGTAACTATGGCAGCAATAGCTCTGTGGTGAGGCTGAATCCCTTCTGCAACAAAATCTTAATGCTCAAATAGAGAAACTCAAGTGAAAATAACCACTGTTGCCAGAAGCTGAAATGTGCCAGTTTTCCCAAAGAAAACATCAATCAAGTTAGCATCCCCATCCTTCTGTCTGCTTAGCGTTCAAGTCCATTTTTCTTCTACAAATGATTTTTCCCAGGGGAAGAGGAGTTAATAATAAAGCATGAAAAAAAAAAAAAGCTGTTGGCAAAGCATTTAGCAGCCTTGCAAACCCCAGCACTGAGTGCAGTCACAAGCCAGAGTTAAAAGCCTCATCCACTGACACACATCCAGCCCCACTCCATCCTCTCCCTCCCCTCCATGCGTGCCCAATCCGGGGCCCTTCCCACAGGACTTCAGAGCATCACCCGGGAGCAGGCACCACGCAGCTGCACGGACCCCACACCTGCATCTGCCCAGCACAGGGGCTCAAACCTCTCCCTTCTCCTCCCTCAAGCAGAGGGAAGACTGATGAAGGGGACGCAAAGACCTTGTGTTACCATCTCCTCCAGCAATGCCACTCACATGATTCAAAGCAAAGGTGTGGGGGGGTGGCAGGCAGGAGGCAGGAACCAGAAATGAGTCAAAGCAGCCAGCAGAGTCAGAAACCTTTAGAAATAAGGGACCTTTGGACATCTGCCCACAGAGCAATCCCCTTCACAGAAGTTACCATCAGGTGAAGTATTATTCAGACTTCTGATCTGATCTGATCTGTTTGCTTACAGAAAAAGATGTAAGCAAACATCTTAAAAGGACACCTCTGCAGGCTTACTGGTTGTTGGGTTTTTTTTTTTTAAGCCTTTCCACACAAAACTTTTTTTTTTTCCTTTGCCTAAGCCCCCAAAACAACAGCAAGGCAACGAGTTATTTAAGGCAGACCTTTAAATACACTTCTAAACCAGACCTCTTCTTGGCAAGAAGTCATGAGCACAAGACACAGCCACACACTCCAGCAAAGGTCACTGCTGCCTTGCTAAATTCCAGTTCAGCTGGAACTACAATTTATCACAGGTTTTCCCCTTACAATTTCAGTTTTATATAGAAACAGTTTGCTCCCCTGCTAACCCACTATATGTGAGTCTGCTGTTAAGTTGTTGCTGTAATTGACACTGCATATTTCTCTGGGAAATTAAACATTTGAGGGATCTTTTAAGAGATGCAAAAGATTTCTTTAACTTGCATTTGTAGAGCATTGAAATTATTTTCACTATTATTTTTCAAACATTAATTGGACATATCAACCTTACCACATTAGAATAATAATTGTGTTGTGTTCTCCAGTATCAAAAGCCATATCTACAGGCATTGTTTCCTTACTATTTCAGTAGAACTTCACGCATTCTTATAAGATGATTTTTTTTTCCCAGTTTAACAATGTTTGTATCATCAAGGAAAGACAGCTTAAACATGTTCCAAGCAACTAAAATTAATTCAGTGTACTGCTGTACTCTAATGGAACAACGCCTGTTTTTATTTCAAGTCAGCAAGAGAACAAAATCAGGGTTTATATTTCCATGCAGTATGGTATTAAGGCAACGACAGAAGCAAGAACTTTATTATCTACTTATTTGTGGTGATGCCACTGGTGGTGATCATGTGATGACTGATACCAGTCACAAGCCTTCTCTGCGTCTGCAGGCTGACAACAAACATGAGAACTTTGAAGTTCTGGGGCTCTTCTGAGTAGGGTGTACAAGCAAGCAGCCAAGCAAGAGTACAAAGAATCACACTCCTTTTCAAGGAAACTTTCATGCCTAAGGTTTTAATATTTAGGTGCAATGGTAGAAATTTGTTTTCTCTCTCATTTCTCAAAGTATATCAATGTACAATTGAAGGCTGAATTGGTAATTCAACACATAAAAAACAGATGTGAAAAATGTTATCTTACTGACAGCATGGGGTAAGACTGTAAGTAATCATCACCATAATACAAATACCTTTGTATATTCTGAAATAAAAAATCCAGAGGAAAGCAAAGTACCATCAGTTCCTGATTAAGGATTACCTAAACCCATGGAAACCACACAATTTCTGCATGACTTTTGTGTGCACTTGCTGTGCTCCTTTTCATGAAGGTACCATATTCTATGCTAGGACTTCATTTTTGGACTCTTCCATAAAGCCATTTCCTTCTCGCCAGAAAAGAATCCAAAGGATTTTCAATGTACTAATGAGTATTCACAGTACCTACTACTGACATAAAATTTAATATATTTCAGGGTTCTTAAATATTGCAAATTGGCAGCAGCTTCAGTGTAAACCCCACTCTAGTCACAGCTTTAAAATATAGATTAGGCATGCAACAAAGATGCAAACCATGTGCACAAGATCAAGCATGAAGAAAAAACATGGTTGTTGAGACCTGCCTGCAACTCAGCTGCATGTACAGATTCTTATTTCAATATGATAATATCAAATTAAAGCTTGAAGCCTAGTTTGCATCTCTTCTGGAGCAAATCACTGTAGAACATGAGAAAGACAAAGACGCGTTAATATTCTTACCTTAGTTCTGATGAACATTTGTTTTCTTTACAGTTTCTACATTTTTGACTGTAAAAATAAAAATAGGAAATCATAAAGATGTTCTAAAAGAAGCAAAAAAAAACTTAACTGAAGCCTATTCTACACAAAGATGTTACTGTAATTTTCAGTAGGGGAAGACTCTAAGATGCAGACTGCTAGCAGCTGGGAAAGCATAAAGAACTATCAAGTGAGAGGGGGGAGAGAGACACACACATATAGCTTGTCCTGTTCTTATATTTTCCTCCAAGTATCTCTGACACAGACAAGACCCTGCACTAGGTGGACTTTTTACTGATGAGCAAATATGCACTCCCTGAAGAGTCCTTTATCGCTTTCTGCAAAGTACCTCAGAGACACCTTTTAGTACATGATGTTGACTTTTCTTCACTAAAGCTGGACATTTAAGAGACCATATATATCTCATTTTAACCTCATGTTACAGATTTTAGGCTAGAAGTAACAGATATAACCCCCTCATTCATCTTACTTTCAGCAATACACTATTCAAGAGGAAGAAAAGACCACTGGATTATGTATGGTAAAAGGCAACTAATATTAGATATAGTTTATAGCTTATTCCTGTAAGAGATTAATATTCATAAAAATCAAGCAAATGCAATACCATAATGCTTTTCATTTTCACTGAAGCAACCATTTGAAACACTCTAGGTAAGCATGAGGTCAATGTTAAGCAATGTACTATGCATAGTCCTGTAGAAGTGATTAAAAAAAAATTATCAACACAAACAAACCTGCTGCCTGAATATCATCTGAAAAAAATCAATTGGTAATGGTCTTCAGTCTTATCAGGTTAAAAAGAGGAAAAGCAAGTGCAATTCTGTGCTAAACTGTTCACAGTGCTTCAGGTTTTCTGCAGGTTTTTCTAGGACCATCAGCACATTTCTGTGACAAAAGCTCCACCTCTGATGTTTATACCATGTGAAGAGCAACTTGCTATCTCATTTTGAAGGTCATTAGACAAACCCTTATTTTAAATTTCCTTGTAATTTTTACAAAGAAAATAACAGCAGAGATGTGTAACATGTACCTCAGTGAAGAAACAAAACGAAATACCATTTTGTATAGAAAGGTATCACTGCAGCAAATGAAAAGCAAATGCAGGGATTAGATATGTTAAAGAGAACAAGTAGAAACACACTATCCAAGGTAGAAAGCAAGCCACCTGACTAGAAGTATGAAGAGATATCCAAAACAGAGGTAACATTTTGTGGTGATAAAAACGAGATGAGATACTTCCTCTAGAAAGAGCTAAAAGATTCCCAGTATGTTACCACACCAAAACCACTTGAGCAAGAAGCAGAACTATCAACAGATATGAATGAGAAGATGGCTGTTTCTTGCCTTTAACACGTCAATTGAATGTGCCAGGCTGAGAGGAATTAAAAAAGAGAAAGAACCCAATTACATTTAATGCTGTGTTAGTCTGTTTGCAATGTTATGAACTGAAAAACAGAAGATATCTTATTTCATTTTCCTGATACATATTAATCACTACTTCACTACAACTTCTTTTCCCTTCCAGAAAGTCTCTGCCATGGAAAGCATACTCTGAACACTGAGTATGAGCAGGTCTTCAAAATTTTGGAACCAGTCTATGCCTTATTTACTGCTCCGTTTAAAAAAAAAAAAAAAAAAGAGATAATCACAATGGCTTACAGAGATTAAAGACTCAATGAGGACTTGAACTAAAGGGAATTTATGAACAAACAAGCCATCTGATTTCCACAACAAATCAGCAGGGAAACTGAATTGATAATAATGACCTTGGCTAAACCATATCTAAAAAAGTCCATTGTGTGTAGTAAATTAAGAATATTGTAAAATTTATAGATCAGCTTGTAAATCAAAACAGCTCTAATGCAGATGGTGCAAGTGAACTGTATTAAAACTGTCCTGACAAGTCTCATCTGGGGCATATTCTTGATTTCACAGGGGATGAAATATTCATTGTGCACCAATAAATAATTTTTCAGCTTTGTTGCCTGGATATCATAACACTGCATATTTGTCAATTGGCCAACGCACTTTCTTAGACATTTTTATTTGATCACTTGAAAACATGATGGGACCTATTCTATAAGTAACTTAGTTTTGTTTGAACCAAGTCTTGGTTTCAGACATCAACCCACATACGAAATTGTTTGCTTGTTTGTTAAACTTACTTGTCAAGAGCAGAAAGGATACAGTGAGGAGAATGGGTGCAACTTCCATCCAAGTTGAGCCAGTCCAAAGCTCCACAACTCAGAATGGGTGAGGTTTCATTAATCTACAAAACACAACATGAGAACAGGCAGAGAAAATATCACAGCAACCCAGGAGCTTCCAAGTTCTTATTAATATTGCTGTTGCTAACTACTGTGTGCATAACACCTCCCATGTGAATTTATAATCTCACACTCCTGCTTAAGCTTTGATAATTTGCAAACTTGCTAAGTATTTGTTACTTAGTACTCTTCTTGTAGTTCTATTTTAATATACTGCATGTTTCATTAATCAAGAAATTAAGAATGAAAACAAATGGAAGTTAAGCCCCTTATCTCAGCTACAGAAGTGAGTAAAAAAAGACAGTTGAGCTGAAGGTATAACGTGTTACTATAAGAAAGCCCACTTTAAAGTGAGACTCTTGCCAACATCAGTTGGTAATATGGTTATGCCCTAAACCAGAACATTTACATACTTTAAGTTAGGGGTTTTTTTAGTTATATATGCCAGTCATTTTAAGGATGTTCTAATTGCTCTGAAACACTATTAACAAGCTGACTAAATGATACCTTGCAGTAGTTACTTCCCGAGATTAACATACCAAGAAATATTTCACCTATCTCTGATGTATGTAACAATTAAGTGCTTTCAGAGCCAACAATACTCAAGCATTTAATCCTATAAATTTTCCATTCCTTCTGACACTTGTCACTTGGGATAGCGAAATGACAGAGAAAGCAGCTAATTCAGAAAGGAATATCAAGTGTGGAAAAATTCTTAACTGTTTTTTCCACTGCGTCATTCTGCTTTTCTGTTTCAGTCCTACCGTAGGCATGACTAGAAATAGGAAACACTAAATTATTCAAGGGATCTGCATCATCTTTTGCTAAGCACCTCTGAAAGAAGTGCTAGTGTCCTCCCACAAAAGGTTTAATGTCATTACAGACCATTAGATGAAGCAAATGAAGCAAGTGAATATGATGATGAGAAGAAATATGATCTGTATCAGGCTTGCTTTTAAGAGGGAAAATAATTAGGAAAATCAATGACGAATTAGAAGAGAAAATAGAGTTTTAGAACTTACTGATCTTCTTTGTCTTAAGATAGCAGCTTCTGCTGGGTGATTGAACCTAAACTTATGAGACTTGCCAAGGACAACAAGGGCACCTGTGCAAAAAAATTAATTGGAAATCTACAGAGATATAATTCGTCAAACTCTTGGTCCCTAGAATGTTAGCAGTTTCTTTAGTATACAGGCTACTGCACATACAAATGTCTACAGAGTAGTATATTAAAAACATATATATATATAGTTTGACCAACATCTTTCTGACTGTCACAGATCAGAGAACTACTTTTAAAACTCGTCACTATGAAGAGCAGAGTTATCATTCTGTAATGGCAGCATCCAAGCAAACTAATCTTGGAGATATCTGCAAACTCAACATAACAGTAAATTCCCTGTTCATACTAAAGAACACAATGACTTTATACCAAGAAGATAACCAATCCACTGCTGGAAATTTGTTTTTTGTACTATCTTTTTAAGAATCCAGATCTCTGCAAGTTCCCAGAAACTGGGTTGGTTTTGTTTATTTGATTTAAACAACCTGAAAATATGTAAGCTCAATCCATTTCATCAGAGCTCATTCACCATAGCTTACATCTCAGGGACTAGAACCCTCCACCTAAACACACTGTGAAAAAGCTGAAGGTCATTTCAAACCCATTACACAACGGTCAAAAACCACATTTGTGGTCAGCTGGCTTAAAGCCAGTCTCCACTACTTTCCACAACAGTGCCTCTGACTACAGGTCTTTCAGAAGGCTACTGCTGCCAAAAGGGCTCTGAACATTGTCACCTATGTGTTCATTTTACTTTTTGTGGGGTACTTAATTTGTTTGTCTGAGTCTGGAAGCTCTACCCATGGATGGATTAAGCCTTGTGGTTCTGGCAGCAGTAGGAGACTGAAAGCTGTATTTCTCGGATCTGCACGAACTCCATAAATCCCTGTCTCTAAATTCCAGAGGTAATTTGATCATAATGCAGCAGTGAGAGGGAAAGCAAGCCTCACCTTGTGACAGACGACACGATCCAGTGACTTCACACCCATTGACCGTGCAGCGCGCGCCCCGGGCGGGCCGCAGCGTCACGACCCCGCAGTCGTTGTCTATCCTACAATGGTCCCTTTCAATCCACTGCCCCTGCAGAACTACAATGCACAGATTCCTTTTACCTCACCTCTTGGAGGGGCTGGGTTTGCACTATCTTCCTCAGAATGCAGTATCACACCGTGTTTGACACCATGACTGCATACTTCATACCTCAGGGAACTATGTCATGTGCAGAACAAGGAGATTAAATTGTTGTCTTTGTACCCAATCACAGAATAAATTTACCTGGATTGAAAGTAGTGAGATTGCTCTTTTAAAAAGTATTTCTAGTTCTGGAAAACTCCACACTAATTTCTGATTTGTGAGCTGATGTGCAAATTCTTCTATTGAGCTGAATTTTCTTACTGTTATTGCAGCTTTGTTGTTTGTATCTTACTAAATACTGTAAACTCCACCCAACACAGCAGAACCAACCAAAGCTGAGATACCACAAAGTTTCCAGTTTTAGTATAGTTTCAGATCTCTATCATAATTTGTAGCTCTTGAGATTGATTGTTAAAATTAAGAGCAGAAATGAATAAAAAATATTCAGAATACTCCTGTTTCTAGAATACTCTGCCCAAGCAGAGTTGAAAAGCATTTTCAGTGTCTCTTGATCACTTGTGCCACTAGTTAAGGTAGAACACAGCAAGATTTGGATGTTGGACAAAGACATTTTTAAACTCTAGTGCAGCATTTCACAAGAGGGAAAAAAATTCTGAAGAGATCTCAATTAGGTGAAGACCTTTGACTTTCTGACCTCAAACAGAAACAAAAAATAATTGAAAGATTTTAGACAACTTAATTACACTCTTCTACTTACCTCCTTCTATAAAGAAAGCTGACAAACAGAAACATTACCTGGCTGTTATACAGGACAAATGTAAACCTCTTGGTTTGACCTGACCATATTCTAAAATAATTTGTAATATCTTTCTCTTACCAATGTCTTGGTCTTGGTCTGAATCACTTCTTCCAATTTTGGTTGTTCCTTCCTAAAAGAAGAAAAGAACTAATTTAAAGGTTGGTTACTGAAACTGGATTATATATAATAATTTTTAAAAACTTTGGTACAGTATCTTAGCTGAGATGAAACCTGAAACAAATTACCTCTGAATGGCTTAATTGTTTAGAGCAATCTCCATCTACCACTCTGTAATACTTCAGCCTGCTGCCCCCCCCAGTGATGCAATTACTTATCCTGCAGCTTCTCCTATTATGACTCCAGTAGAAGAAACAACCCTCAGTGGATGATTTTTGGACAATGCTTAAGATAAATATTTTTAATATGAACACATGTTCTGATGCTTTGCATTTTTACAGTGAGACTTGTTTTCAGAAACGAGATAATTCTGTTTATAAATATCCATGCAGGAAGAAAGAAGCTACAAAATGATTATTCCATTAACTAGGCTTTTCAGAAATAAAAGTAGCAGAATATCTATTTGGTTGGGGAGCTTTGTCAAACATTATGAATTCTTAAAACTAACTACTAAAGGAAAACTTTTTTTCTGAAACTTAAATACCATTTATAAAAAGTCTTTTTGGTGATTCTGGTATATTGGCAAGTTCCCAAATGTGAAGATTCAGTAACTCCAAAGGTAAGAACTGCCTAGGAATGAGAGTCTCCAGAACAAGCAGGCTCAAACCATACTACAGGCCAGTGATGGAAGTGAGACAGTATTCTTATGGTACAGTGCAAGTATCAATAAAAAAAATCATTTAATCAATACTATGAGAAAAAACTGCCCAAAAAAACCCAATGAATGGAACATACTAGACATGTAGTAAATTATCTGTTCTTTTTCCTATGGAAACAAAGGCAAGATCATTTCCCAGCTCTGAAGAAACACTATACTTGATTACTGTAAACTGATTAGTGTAATGCGCTCTAAAATGACTTTAGTGGCAACTCTTTCAGTCATATTAAAATTAATTATGGTCATTAAACTATTTGATTTTTGTATTCTAATTAGAATTAATTGAATGTTTTTTTTGTTCCATGCACATTATAAACTAGATTTAAAGATGAAGCAAGAAATGGCAATCAGAAGCCTGAAGACTGGGGAATGAGAAGCTCTGCATTACTGTGGGTAACTATGGGTAAAGCACAGTCACTGTGTGCACTGGAGGGAAAGGGGATGATTATCACTCAGTACCTCATCTTGCTCAGCTATCTGAACCAAGTAACACAGCCAGCCCTCTGCTACAAGGCCTGATGAGAACCCCTTGCTGGAAAGGCTGAAAGCTGGATTGTGCCCAGTGCCCCTGCTTTGGATTAAGATACATGTCAGCAGGCTCAAACACAAAATATCCACCTGGCTTGGCCACAACTTGTACAAAACTTATGATCCATATGGCGTTTGACTCACCTCACAAAATCAAGTGAGTTAACAACACGTATTTTATACAAAGAGAAGTAAACCTACTCCAAGAAGGCCTCTGTATCAATTACCTTCTTGACTAAGCAATGAAATAGTTATTGTAATTCCAAAAGAACTTTTTTTCCAGTGTTCTGAAATCACTCTCCACCAACACAATTTAATTCAGAAGAGTATATTGCTGCAGTATTGACTCATAAAATTCCCAGTAGTAGCTCAGTTAGTGGAGTGATTCTGTGTGAGTTTAACTACAACTGAAAACTGCAGCTGAGAGCAAAGGTACAGATAAAATATAGAGCAAACTTACTCAACCTAAAGAAGAAAAAACAAAAATGGCCACAACCCAGGCCCATGCCAGTTTCAGTTTTCCCAGTGCTATTACTGAGCCAATAATTTAAATATTTATTCTCTTTCCTCATTTGATATTGAGCTTTCTGCCTGAAAAAGTGAACCACATCATTCAGATGAAATGATGGCACAACTTCACCTTAACACAGGGAGGTACACCTGTATCTGTTGAAGGGCTTTTACATTGTTACCTTCTTCTGGCAGTGTCTCCTGAGTAATGGTAACATACCCAAGGTACTTTACAGAACCATGAAGAGTGAGATTGCTTTCCCCCTTCAGTTTTGGGAGCACCTCAACTTCAAAAAAGGTTTGTGAAGTAAGCTTTCTTTGTGAGGTATCTTTTTCTAAAACATTATAAATAAATCCCATATATTTAAGCGATGCAGAAAGGTCAGTTAAATTACAGGAAAACATATATTTTGGTTGATGAAAGCCAGAAAAAAAAGAATCTAAAACATTATAAATAAATCCCATATACTTAAGCTATGCAAAAAGGTCAGTTAAATTACAGGGAAAACATATATTTTTGTTAATGAAAGCCAGAAAAAAAAGAACAGAACCTAAGAAAGAAAAGTTCTTTAAGCAGAGGTGCAGCACTGATTAGTGCAATTAATACTATGGAATATCACAAGACTAAAATAACAACACAGTGTTTATTCTACATGGTGTGAAAACTGCTGCCTTGGCCTCTCTCTAGAAGTACAATGTAAGTGCTGCTGTACATTGAAGCCCTAATGTAAGGAACCACTAACATTTTACCTTCTTGCTGTTCAGATGAAGGTAACAGACACCAGAGTCTACAAGATGCAAAGCACAAAGAAAAGAAAAGGCAGCATCTAGGAGCAAAGAAAGAGGGGACAAAGATGTTAGTGAGACAGAGAGACTCTAATGACTTCAGAAGGTGACCCTTGCAAGCTAGGTTTCTCCATTAAAGTGCATCTCTTTAAATTACTTTAGGTTATTAGTCAGCATTAGTATGTGGAAATATTTGCTGTTTTCAAAATGGCATAAAATGGAAAAACGTTTAAGTAGTAGCAATTTACTTTAATAAATATTTAATGTTAACATAGAATTGAGTAGTTTAATTTGCATGTTGAGAAGCACTGGACGTTATTACTTGGTTCTTAATTATTAACTGGTACTATTTCTTTCTGATGGCATGAGAAAAATGTAGTAAGATTTCTCTTTCAACATGATAAACAACAGCATGATTTCTATTTCAAGTATTTGTTGTGGCTTTTTAGCAGGAAAAAAAAATCCTGTGTCCCTCAACTATATCAAGTAGCACAAACCCTAGATTTATATTACAGTATTTTATTAATGGACATATATATGTTTTTCCACCATATTTAACACATTTTTTTGCTAATGAGTGCACCCTTGTAGAGGTGCACATCCATCGTTCTGTTTTACATTAAACAGTATCTATAGTTCAGCAATTTCCATTCACTTAAAAAACATTAAAAAAATGAAAGTCCATCTTAGCATTGACTTATTAGTAAAAAAAAAATCCCCTAAAACTATTTCACCTAGGCATGCATATCTTAAGCTGCATTGTGGAGTAATATAAATACAACATTATGAAAGTTTCACAATTTCTTGGTGAAAACATTGCCTTCATTGAGGACACAGGAAAACAGTATCTGTGAAACCAGGATTTCTACTTGATCCTGGGAAAAAAGCCACTCATGTGGGATCACAATATTTAGCATTCAAGCTACAGAGCTGGAATCTACTTGACAGGGCCAGTAGGGTTAAAAGAGCAATATACAGAAGTCATTGCCAAAATGAGCTTGCACTTGTTGAAGCTTACTTTTAGCTTTGATCTATGCAGATACAGATTTCCAGTCTCAAGTTTGCAAGCACCTAGTAAAATCTGGACAATTATGTCTGGTGTATTTTAAGCACTATCCTTTACATTTATGCACACACATCTGTCTTCATGCTTTGTGGACAAACTAATTCCTAATGTGAGTATTTTGCTTATGATATGTTATCAAATAGTTTGGATATGCATTCATATGTGGTCAATTTATTCCATACATGAATTATTCTTCTTCTCCTTCTCCATTTTCATGTGTGTTTTTCTGCTTTTTCCCCCATTATCTGTGTCTTGTGGGCTGCAGCCTTTACTTTTTGATAGCTGTTGTAATGCCACCTTAACCACCCTCCAGCTCTCTTCCAAAAAGAATCTTGCTTCCAAAGAAAACAAGTGTTTTAAATTCAAGCGAAAATAAAACAAGTGACAAATAAGGTAAGTGACAATATCTCACCCTGAGATGATAAAGCACCACTCCTGTGCTGAGGATATCATCATCCATGGCCATCAGATGAGGTAAACTAGAATCTATTGTTACTCCAGCTTTTTCTTTGTTGATGTCCACACTGTATTCTTCCATGATGGCTTTCCTGTCTGTCCACTTATTTGTCCAGTCTTTGGTCAATTGCTCAATCTTAAAGAAGAGGAGAGGAAACTGTTTTACTTACTAGAGCAGGTTGATTTTTCTCATACATAAATTTCTTCAGAAAGAACAGCATTTTTTTCAGTTACTGGATGCAAAATTCTTTCACCAGATGCAACGTAGATGTATTTCTAGTTGCAGCACATTTCTGTGGCAACAAAAAAATTGGGTAAAAGCTATACCACCACCTAGTGACAAAGGTTTAATCTACTGAAGACTCATTCTCAAAATGTCAGAAAGATATATAATCATGCTATCTAGTTATTTTGCCTGTCTTTAAGAAAAACTTTAAATTAATATCTCCAAAACCCTTTCAGTGATCACTTCTTTGTAATTTGGTGACTGCACAATAATTTCCTTTGAACAGACTGGAGAAATTTAATCTTAGAAGACAGGCTCTGGATAATGAATTACTGTAATACATTAAAACAGCTTTCAAACAAGGAGTAGATTGTGCAGACATAGTGATAGGCAATGGATAGTATCCCATTAAGAATATCAGATTTTCATTACAAACTGGTAAAGAGCACCCAACAGGCATTAAGGATGGAAGTTTCCTGCATACTCAAAGCAAACAGGAAAGGCTTAGGACAAAACCACAATCACTGTGGTGTCAGAGCTATGGCAGTGCTATCCCCCTAAGCCTCATTAAACAGGAGAGTGTTCAAGCACCACAGAGATAATAAATACCTTCATTTCATTCTTAAGAACCAGCTCAGTCAGATTGCTGTCCCTGTCATCACTCCAAGAAGGACTGGAATTCCTCTGTGCAAACAACAACCACCAAGATCTACAGGTTAGTTTCCTTATTCACAACTGGCAAGCATGTTCTTTTATAATCCAGGATTTCAAGGAGATGAACTCAGGGCAAGAGAAGAAAAAATACATAGGCATTTGAAGCTGCCTTCTAGAATCTAGCTACACCTCTCTAGCTATTGCATGCAAGTCTTTGTGAAGAACTGGTGAAAGAGCATTAACAGAGAGACACTTCTGTGTAAATACATCCTGGACTGTGGTTCCAGTCTCTCCCAGCAAAATATGCTCTTCATTGGCATGGAAAACCAAGACACTATTATTGTTCCAAAAGAGAAAAAAACAAAGAGCATCAGCTGTGTTGTGAGGGCTCACAGATGTTCAAGCTTCTTTTGGGGGACAGAGCATGAAGGCTGGGTGAAACCTCCAAAACACTGTTGAGGTCGACTAGTTAATTTCTTTGGGAAAGAAGATTATTACAAAGTCTAGCAGGGAAATGACATCAATGTTTAGTATTTTCTACTGTCCTGGTGCTTCCATATCCCCATAAACAAAATATTTCTATATTTGATTCAGGACAACAAAATCATCCAATTCCATGAAAGACAGGAAAAGAAAACCTTTCTTATCATTACAAAACTGCTTATTCCTCAGGACTATCAATATAATAGCAGAAAAAGGAGAAATTACAGAAATACACTTAGCCTTATAATCATCGTGAAATCACTCAGTTTAATTTCAGTTTAATTTCCCATGTTACAATAAACATGGAAATATGAAAAGGCAAGATAAAAGGACGCTACTGTAGCTACCTAAAGCACCATCAGAGCTCCATTTGGGAAGCATTTTACGTACCAGTTCAAAGCTCATCAGCATAGTTTTCAACCTATCAATTTCTTCTCGCAGTTCTCTGATCAGTTTTACATTGGCATCCTGAAACATTGAGACACAGAAAAATAATTCTTAGAAAAATTCTAGCTAAAGAAATGAATGCAGAGCTGTTCCAAGAGCCAGGAAGAGAGAAGAACAGGCACACTCCCAGCAGGACTCCTCCTTCCACTCTGCCAGGCCCCTGGGACGTACAGCCCAGGGGCGGGTGGTTCCCACCTTTGGTAAGTTCTCTTTCCTGAACACAGACTTACCTATATTTGTTCCCATCATGACAACAGCTGGACACATCACTATTTTCATGGATTTACCTTCAAAATAGTCCCATCAAGTAAAAATGCTGTTACTTCTGTCATGCAGAAGAGAAAATCAGGCTGGAGGAGACTAAGTCAGAATGTCACCAACCATGGTATCAAAAGCCCTTGCAGCTGATACACGAAACATTTCCTCCCTGCTTGTGTGGAGGCATTTATCTGACTTTCAAAGTAAATATCCCCACACAGGCAGTTTCCAGAAACCAGCTTTCTGCAGGCAGTTAGGGAAACTCTTGAGTCAAGAGTCTTCTGGGCTGCGGGTGACCCTTTGGCTCAGGTGAATTTGCAGGGAGGGGAAGAAGGCAGCTAGCTGAAAGGATGGAGTTAAGGGTCTGGCAGGGGCTGTGCAAGAGTGATGGGCACACGAGCTGGAAGGCTGACAGGCTGTATGGCAGGAGGTGCTAACCCAGGAGGACTGTGTTTACTTGCCTGTGGCCTTGTCACAGAGCTGAGAACTGCTGCTGCACTATTGCTTCCACTACTGATGTCTAAAAACTAGTTACAGGCACTGGTAATACAAATGCATCAGAAAGGTTTCCTTCAGCCCAAGATTTATCAGAGTATCATTAGGAAATCAAATAAAAGAAGTGCATCTCTAAGATTCTATCCTTTTATCTATGGATAAAGTCTTGATATACGCAGGCCAAATCACAGAAGAACACTATTAAAGTTGTAAAATCAATTGCTCAAAGATTACAAAATGCTAGAATCATGACTTTTTTTTCCCTTAAATGGATACATTGTGATACAGTCATTAAGTTACATGACTAGTGTAGGGTGGCAGCTTCATGTAGAAATGTCAGGTGAAGAATGCTCAGCTCAAGAACAGCAATTCAAGAGTTTTATATTTGTAACGTGTGATTGTAGATCTTGATTATTGTGTGCTGCTTGAACTGTGATGTGATGACAGATAGAATTATGCATAACCCCTAGGATTTTTTTTATGCCATTTCTCAACACTACAGTGTCTAAAACCTCCACAACTGCTAATCAGTCTGTTTATCAGCATGTCTTTGATAAGGAGAGTTTACATTTTTCCTATTTAATAAATGTGGACTATGGATAAGGGTGGAAAATGAATAACAAGCACACATTGAAAGTCTGCTTTAAGCATCTGGACTAGCACAGAAGGTGGCTGTAGCAGGGGCAGTGACAGACCCTGGTCCTCCACGGCAGCATCAGACTCTCCCCTTAATACCCTGCAACCTTTTGCCTTGTGCAGCCTTGTGAAGGACCCTGGCACAACTGAACAGCTGAACCTGCCCTACAGCCAGAGTTCATACCTGGAACAAACCCATTTTGTGCAATGAATGAAGCTGGGGTTCTGTGGCAAAAACTGCTCCCTTGTATTTAAAGGCTTCATTTTGCATACTGAAAAGACAACAAATTGAGACTACATAGGCTGCCTTAGGTGTGGCATATTAACTTCTGAATTCTCGACTTTCTAACCTTAACAGTTCATTTAACATGCCAAAGGGAAGGACTGCAAGGATTATGCACTTATAGTAACAGATGAAATGGTAACAAGTAATCCTAACTCTCCCAATATTTAGGATAAAGACATAGGATAAACACACAAGTCATAACAATTCAAGGAGAAGGACTGAAACTCAGGGGACTGAGATGAATGTAAAATAAGTGTGAAATCCTAAACGGTTTAAGCTGCAGGGGATTGAGGAAATGATTTCCACAATATCCAAGCTCCCATTTAGCTCTATTAACACAGGAAAAAGAGGTATGCCTTTTATTCAGAGAGAAGATAGACTGAATAAGCCTTAAATAACACACATAATAAAATGGAACAGGAATGAAAAGCAGAACCTGAGGCCTCACCTCATTCACTCTGGGCTTGTTAATAATATTTTTGGCATTTGAAGCATATCTCAAGGTACTCATGGTCTCGTTGTAGCTGGAGCTGGCAGGAGAGATTGCTACAGACAGAAAACAAATAGGAAATAAATGCTGTTTTAAAAAGTAATCAGCTTAACCCATCACTTTACAAAAAGGGGGATTTTTTTCAATCTTGCTTCTTTAGAAAACAAAACCAAAAATATCACTAGGGATGCTTCATCAAGCTCAAAGAGAATGCATTCTCAAGATTGCATTTATAACTGAATAAATGAGTTTAAATCAAAGCTTAACTCCATGCACAACCAGAATGCCTTTTTATTTCCCTGAGTATCCTATGAAGTATTTATGAAAACCTTTACAAGAACAGATGCTAAGTGATACAGCTGTCTGCTCACTGCAGCAGAGATGTATTTTAAGGGGGTAATGTAGTGCAAAATGTTAAGAGTGAACAGAAACCAAACTCACTGGCAATCATAATGGTCTTGGAGTTGCCCCCCAGACTGTCCTTCAGAAGCCAGGTGAGGATGGAGTCACGGTAGGGGATGTAAGCTGGTCGCCTGCTCCCACTGACACTGCCTGCAGCAGGACTGTCCATGGGACTGCTCTCCCCTTCACTCGTTATGGTGTTTATGCTCTGGCAGCTGCTGAACATCTGAGAGTTTTGAGCTGAAGGAGAAATGCCACAGAGCTCAGGAAACGGGTTATCTTCTGTCACGGCTATTTAATTTTCTTAGCTGCCATTACACTTTATGAAGGTGCCACACTGCTGTTCTGTGCAGCTTTTAGTTGTAAATACAGAAAAACATTAAGACACAGCACACAGTGAGTGCTATGCTTTTATCACTACCCTTCAACATAAAGGACTAGTGTGCTTACCTAAAGTGGAGATGACAATTCCAAGTGTAACTAATGACTTGTTAATATTGGCACCCTCAGTAATTCGATCTTTGCAGTAACTGGGATCAGCTCTTTCACTGTAGCACACAGGCAAGGAAAAGACAATGCAAACCAAACAAAAATGCTTAATTATCAATCAATCAATATGAAAACATTATGTCCTCACATACAATTGCAAGCTTTGCCATTAAAAACCCACACGCTTTAAATACTTATTGCTCTCTGGTTCAGAAAGTCCAAACAACCATGAGCAAAGGCCACTGGTGCAAACTACCGTTAAAGACCCATCAGAACACAAATTCAAGGCTGAACTGGGCAATCCAATCAGTGATTCTGAATTCAACCCCCAACAACACACATTTCACAACTCTGCAAGGGCAGGATGGCTCAGTGCAAAAGTCTGTATGTCCCCTCAATATTACTTTCTCTGCTCAGACATATGTGGTGATTTTCATTCTTGAAAGAAAAATGTCCTGTTCTCCAACTGTTCTGCAACTCTCCAGCACAATTTCCATCGTTCAGCTCTCTGTCACGTCCTGCATAACCAAAATATTCCTTACCAAAATGCACAGCTAAGATCAGACACTTAGGAACTATAGGAACATGAACAATATAAGCAGTGAGATATGACTGTTTCCACCTGCCCGTGCTAGGCAGCCATTCCCTTTTTTCTCTCTCCTTTCAAGCTCAGATTTGTCAATTCCACCAACAGCTACTGGTAAAGCCACTTAATAAGAACATAGGGTTGAAGAGAATTAGCTTAAATGTATGCAACAGCACAGTATTGGATCTGAGGACCCAGAAATTCCCTTCCCCAGTGAAATTCAGTATCCAATACAGAAGAACAGATGACAGAGACAATATCAACTGAATGTTCCTTGTTACTGTGTACAAAAGTCAGGCTTATTGTTAGTTTAGTGAAGTTTTAAAGTATTAAATTTAATCTTTTAAGGCAGTGCCACCAGCATCTTCAGAGTAAATTACCTTTTTGCCCCTCATTATTCTATTACCTGCCTGCAAGGTCCACTAAGTTGATCTTACTTGCAATTTCAGAGGGGAGATTATTTTCCAATATAGCCTGAAAAGAAAAATATAAATAAGGAAGATTATTCCTCTTAATTAACTAATGAAAATAAAACAGATGTGCTCTTTAGTTTGAAACTGAGTTGCAGATATGACTGTCTCACTGCCTTCCTTTCTGACCTTGACTGTGTTCAAACCATTAACTCAACAGTTTTCTCACCCAACACAGAAACCACCCTCTTATGTTGATTTCCTCTTGGAAAAAAAAAAACCTTTACTGCCTAGCGACTGTGAAAGGCTTTCTTGTAGATCTTGCAGAGCTATTTTCCACTAATGTATTCCAAAGGTCTTTTGTGAAACTACTGAAAAATATCCCAAAATGTTCTGTGATTACAGGATGTTAAAAGTGTGAGATAGAAAAGGTCTATTGGATTACTGGACGACTTCCCTGCCAGGGAAGGATATAATTCCTCCAGAGAAAGGGGGCATTGTCTCTGGGAGAGGATTGGATGCCAAATGCTAAAGAGATGAGCACATCTGAAAAGCTGGACAGATACAAAATTCTGGTGTTAAACTAATGCTATACTTCAATTAAGGATCCTAAACAAGTGTCACAAAACACAGCTTCAAACATATTCACACGTAATTTTCACAGCATCCTAGAAGGGATATTGCATTTCAAAGAGCTGATTAAAACTTTAAACATTTCTTTTTACAGTCAGTCTTTGGCATCACTTCTGACTATAAGCTGGCATAAAGGAACAAGAATACTTCAGTGAATACTCAACACATCAGGTGGTGTAGGAACTGTAACACATCTGCAGTGTGATCCAAAGGAAGTAACAGCTTCCACTGAGACTATTACAAACAGCACAAAACAGTGACAAGTAAACACTGCACAACACATTGAATGATGCTTTTTGAGAATGAAGAGAAAAGGAAGTTGGATTATTTTTAGCTAACCTGAGTGTAGTGGATGGTGAAGATAGCATGGGATCTGCTGCTGGCATTGTGAATATGTGTAGCTGCTGTGATTCTAGAAAGAAGAACAAACCATTCAATTACAAAGGCTTATTTCCCAGTAGTCAGGGAAAGCAAAAATATAAAATGCAGCAAATAAACAAAGATGAAGGACTGTGAAACTTGCAGAATACGATAGGCTGTATTCTGGGATCTGATCACAGAGTATCTAGTGGAGGACCTGGAAGGGTGGAAATCAAGGGTTAGTTAGAGGTGTTTTTGTCCACTAGTAGCACTCTGAAGAAATATCTTAAAGCAGCATTACAGCATAGGTGTAAGGTGTTGCTTAAGGGTAGAACACAGCAGAGAAGTACAGCCAGAAACAGCAGCTTACAGCTCACCCCCAACACCACTGAATGCAGTGGCCCAATACATTTTCCCCATATTGCCCCCATTTTTGTTTCTTAGCACTTCAAAGGGTCTACAATGGGCAGAGGATATGGGGGAACAGCACTTAAGTTTATAAAGCAAAGGAGAAATAGAAAGAAAAAAGAAAGGCTTTTGAAAAGGAAGTGGTAGTACTCTGACAATACACAGGGTAACTGGAGGGCATTTTTATGGGAGAATATATGTGTTAGTTTTTAATATATTCTATTTGATTGTGGTATGTGGTATACATTCTACTGTTCTTAACCATTCTAATAATATGATCTAGCTTGACTGATTGTTTTGCTTTACCCAGCAGCAGGGCTATGTTTTTGGAAATGTGGAAGTTTTGATTTCCTGCAGGGATAATGCACCTTCCAAAAAATGGGAAGTTTTAATTTACTTTATTCCCTTTTTATTTTTACTTTTCTTTACAGCATCACCAGTATTCTAAAATCTCAACCTCTCTTAAGGGAAGACCATATCAATTTTGGAACGGTGATTTGTGTTTGGAGGATCTTTCAAATATAAATCTTTTCAGGCACTGTAATGGCAGCTGTATTGATATCCAAGGCTCCCTGTTGAAAAAGTTAAGAAAGTGTTTTATCTAATGAGAGCTGAAAGCATGTGTGCCAATTCCCACATTTCTCACAGTAAACATCTGTGATTTGGACTAAGAACTTAAAAAATTATTATAAAAATTAAACAAACAACTGTAAAACAAATACCTTTAGAAATGAAATAAAAATACACTACCTTTTCAGCAGTTTTAAATTACTAAGTTACACCAACAAGTGAGTTGAAAGCCATACTGTCTAAAGTGTCATGAGCAAGTGGAGGAGTACAACAGAAGTCTGTTTACAGCAAAACATTTTCCTGGCGTACATTTTTTACCCTAGACAGATGGTTGAATTTTGTGGGTGCATCAGCATGGGATCAGTTTTGAAGAAACACCTTCATGAGTGCTTCCAGCTCTTACTGAGGATAAAATGAGGATATGTAACATCTGATGGATATGTCATGTATAGGATCAGCAAATCTGACATCCTGTCATGACAAAGCATTGGCAACACTGTCAATAAAATAAACATCAATGAAAACACACATAGTGGAAGAAGTATTACAGAAAGATGGAGCTGGCTTCTTTTATAAAATACCTTTTAGCTATTCCTTCTTCTAGAAGTTGTACAACTTGCTTGTAGTCTGTAACTAAATGTTGAGTCAATCCTGTCAAAGATTTAAAAAGAGTTAAATGCACATTTTACTCAGGAAGTTTCAGTCAGTTTACCCAAGAATTTACCCTACATTAAGAGCACAAAGATGTTCTGCTGGGATGCCAATCTGTTCTACAAGTAGTCTCTCAACCAGAGTAACTATTTTATTTTAAAAAAAAAAACACTTTTATTTTTAAAAATAATTTTAAAATTGCACCTTCAGGTGCATTGACATCACTATAAAAAATGATTTCTACCTTCAAAGTATTGACCTTTTTCCATCTTATCTGCAGAACAATGGTATTTAAAAAACAATACCACTGAAACTCCATTAGAAATTTTCAGCTATACCACTGCTATTAACTGGGTCCAGATCCTGTAAAGAAGCTTTTTGCCCCTGTCTGTGGATAATGTCTCTGCTCACACAACTGACAGAATCAGGAACCAACCCCTATCAATATTTGCTGTTTACTTCACTAGGCTCTTTGCCTGCAACGCTAAGGAGTCTTCATGCACTTTTGTCCTCAGTGGGTACACAAATAATTACATAAAACATCTGGCTTTTTCACATCTTCTGCCTTCAGTTTTGGTGTGGTGCTGGTTTTTTTTAAAATTTTATTTTATTTTATGGGGGGAAAAACCTCACTGAAAACAAATGGGAGGAGTACTGCATTGCAGAGCCTGCTGTGTGGGTGGTGGTTGTGAGTGGCAGGGTCCCGGTGGAGGGCACTGTGCTGCTGTGCTGCAGAGGCACTGCCAGACCCTTGCAAAATGCACATGCCAGCAGACACGCAAAATTAACCTCAACAGGCCTGTATTTCACACACATCCAGTTTAATACACCTCATTTACATTTTATTGTGCTGATTCGTTATCATCTGTACTGCAGTGACTCCTAAAACCCCACCTGAGCTGCAAAGTCAGTCTTCATCACACAACACCTAGCAAAACACTCCTCTGCAGAATGTTTTATCTCACAGCTGGAATTCAAGGCTACTTTCTCCCCTCACACTGATGAAGGTTTGGTTTGGTTTATTGCAGGCCACAAAAGTGTGGATGAAGGCAGAGTACTGAAAAATGTGATTTATTAGGACCAAGTAATTTCTACTGCTAGGATGTAATATATTTCTACTGCAAGATGAATATAGAATTCAGTAAGACTGAAATAAGTACTTCTGACATTGATAGAGAGAGTCTAGTTTCACATGATAACAGTTTGTTTAACTTTAAATGAAAGCAGAATCAAAGCCAAAGATGGGAATTTATTTTAGTCCTTTAACAAAGAATAAAGAAAGGAAAAAAAATTTGGAATCACCCACACTTTAAAAAAAATCCCAGCTGTAGAGTGCATGTGCACACAGTCACACACACACAAAGTATAGGATGATTTTCAAACAAAAGCATTTCTTCTGCTCTCTAGTGTCCCTTTACAACACATTATTTCCAGAAGTCATCACATTTTCCATTTGAAAAAGAGGCCCATTATTTTTCCAGCAACACTGGGACTTTCAAAGATCAGAATATGGAAACTATCTCACATTGTTTTCCCAGACCCTTTTTCAGGATCTTACTCAACAGAATAAAAATCCAGTTATAAAAGGGATGTATGGAAGAAATTCTTACACACCTACATTTCCATAAGTACTGGAATAGTGAAGCTACAGTTCAAAACATATAGTTTTTCAATAACGTAAATGAAATATTGTAAATGTAGTTTGAAAAGAAATTACAAAGTGCTTTGCTGGCTGTTAGAAAAAGAAAGGTCATTTTCAAGCCCTATGAAAGATCAAAACCACTTGCTCATCTAGAAATCTGCCTCAGAGTAAGAAAGGATCTCCCCCAGAAATCAGTCTCAGAGTAACAAAATAGATTGCATCATTTCCTGATTTAAGAGGGGCTGATTCCTTAACAGTGCAACCATCTGTGAGGGAGAAGTTTGAAACGATTCCAGTCCAAAGCACTGAAACACTTTCAGCATTTTAAAGGCTACAATCTCACAGCCTTTACTTGGAAAAATGATGGGCTGGAAACTATTCAAAATACTTAAGTCTTCAGAGCTGGGGCTTCCTGGCTGGACTTGCAAATGGAAAATGCATTGTCCACAGAATCTAAGCACCCTTAAAGGGGTTAACTTGTCTGGTTTTCCTCTCTGCTCTTCATCCAGTGCTAACTGTACTCTGGATACCATTGACACCAATCACACAACTGACAAACTAATGGGATGCTGGGGAGCTCCTGATCAAAGCCAGCAAACCTTAAAATTGCTGATGGTTTGTAAGGACTATGATGCAAATACAGATACTCATCCTGAACATGCTGGATCTAAGGGAAATAATGAAAAATTTCTGAGTTTTGCTGATCTTTACTATTCTTATTTCTCCCATAGAGCAAATTGCCTGGAAGGAGAATACAAACCAAGCTCCCCCCTTCTAGTAACCTTGTTGATAATTCTGATCTCAGCCATCTAACTATTGAAAACAATATTCTTACACTCTGACCCTGCACAGAGAGTCTACATGTAAAAACTGCCAAACACCACTTCAGCACAGAGATCAGCAATTGTTAATTGCACCAATATATTACTGCAGTTGAGAAGGACATTTTATTCCCATGTTGTGAAGAACTTACTTTTCTTGAATTTGATATTATTAAAATCAAGCTGACTGTACTCCTCACCTGCATTCAAAAAAACTTCTGTACTTCCCCATTGCTGATTATTCATGGTGTGAGCTAATGAGTGCTGTTCCAAAAGGAGCTATTGGATCACACCTTCTTTATTGGTCCCTCTCCCCAAAAGACACCAGGGTCATTTCAAGTAAAACAGTTATAGTTCTTAATTGCATAAACTGTACATAACCATGTTTATTAATATCTACTTATATAAACATATCTAAAAAAAACCCCCAGAACTATGTCATCTGACTGTTGCCCTAAGCCACTGACTCATCAGCCTGAAATCACTTCTGTTTACATGCTCTCAAACAGCTTCCAATTACACCCCATGATGCCTTCAGCAGCAAAATTACTTCATTTTTCATGCAAGTGATCAGTTTTTCTCAAAATGTGAATCATGTTTATCATTAAAATCTTTATCACAGGCATTAACACAGTGATTTTTGGAGGCTGTCATAAGATACAGAGGGAAAGAATCTTCTAAAATAAAGTATTCATATCAGATTTACAAACATGGCCAAAGCTGGCAAATATTTAGGTTAATCTTTTTCCATTATTTTTTCCTCTTCTTTTACAAAATCTAATCAATGGGGAACTTTTATGAGATATTTCAGAACTCTAGCACAGAATTGTTCCACTTAAATTTTTTACTTGTGTCTAAGTATAAAATCCTTATTCAAAAGGGTAAAACTTAATTTAAAAAAAAACAAAACAAAACACACAAAAAAAAACCCAGCAACACAGAACTGGAAAAGAAGTAACAGATTTGGCCTGGAAGGTTCCAGGAGAAGACAAAATAGTGACAAAAGGCAAGCCAGCCCATTGGCAGAAGCTAGAACTTCATTTTCTTTTAAAACAAGGAAACTCCATTACATGCAGCCAAGGCATCACTGGAGATATAAGGCCTGAGAAAAGGGATGGAAATTGCCAAGGAAGGAAGCACTTTAAAGACCTTTTCTTGTGTGGTGAATGAGCAGCTGCTTAAAGAAAAGAATTAGTATCTGTACTCCACTAATAATGAAGTTCTCCGATAACAAGCAGGTAGAAAGAGAATGTTGGAAAGACCTCAATGAAGGCCAAATGTCTACGAATCTGCTTTTCAAAGAATGATAGGTTTGCCATACTAATGAGACCATCAATTCATCTGTTTTCCAGTTCTCCTTAAACAGGATGCTGATGTGCTGGGAAAGCATGGCTGAAATAACCAGAATGCCAGAAAGCCCCTTGTGTATAGGACCAGGCAAGTTCAACACTTCCCAAGTGCTTATTTCAAATTTTGAAAGAAGGAATTGGTAAGAACTGTCAGTTGTTAAGCATGCTATAACTGATACTGCAGGTGCCCAGGGAATGAGAGCTGGGAATTGCACGCTCCATTCAATCATGGAGATAAGTCACCCTATCTGTTGTCACATTTTGCCTTAATCTCTGAAGTGAGGTAACAATCTAACATAGTAATGCCATGATAAAGGAAAAGAGAGGAAGAAAAGTAGACCAGGGAGAACAAGAGGAATTTACAAACAGAGAGAAAAACTCTATTTAAAACCCAGAACAATTCAGTATTTCATCTGATGTGACAGGACCAATAAAATTCTGTGTGAATGAGTTTTCAGTACTAAATGCATATCCCCCAGGTGTTACTACTCTTGGTGGCCAGCCAAGCAGTTGCAGAGTCAGTGATATCAGAATAAACTCTGGAACTCTGCCCACTAGATACAAGGCACAGTGAAAGGAAATATATGCATTTACTTTCTATATAAACTCATTAAATTTTGAAACTCACATCAGTTTGGCAAAGGCTCTTCCTTCTGATCTCCACTGTAAAGCTGTTGTATGACTTTGCACCAGTGTACTGGTTGTGAAAGAAATGCCTTTTCTCAGAGCTTGGCTAGAGAAACAGCAACACGCAGGCAAACTTTACACTGGGAGCTAAAGTACCAATGGTCAAACTTCAATTTAAATCCATGTGAGACCCTGAATTGAAGGCACCAATCAAAAGTGAAAATGAACTGGAAGTGCAAAACAACCAAAGAGAAGATAAAAACTAAAATAAGGCAGACAAGTGAAAAGGAAAAAAATATGTTGAATATTGTGTTCAGTTCTGGGCCCCTCACTACAAGAAAGATACCAAGATTCTGGAGTATGTCCAAAGGAGGGCAATGAACTGGTGAGGGGGTCTAGAGCTTATGTCTTGTGAGGAGAGGCTGAGGGAACTGGGGTTGTTTAGTTTGGAGAAGAGGAGGCTCAGGGGAGACCTTATCACTCTCTACAACTACTTGAAGGGAGGCTGTAGCAAGGTATGGGTCAGTCTCTTCTCCTGGGTAACAAGTCATAGGACAAGAGGAAATGGCCTCAAGTTGTACCAGGGGAGGTTTAGGTTGGATATTAGGAAAAACTTCCTCAGTGAAAGGGTTGTCAAGCATTGGAACAGGCTGCCCAGGGAGGAGGGGGAGTCACTAGCCCTAGAGGTATTTAGACGACGTGTAGATGAGGTGCTGAGGGACACGGTTTAGTGGTGAGCTTAGCAGTGTTAGGTTAATGGCTAGACCTGATGATCTTAAAGGTCTTTTCCAAGCAAATTGATTGTGTTTTTTTTTTTTTTCCCCAATCTGTTTTGCATCATCTCATTTGAAAGCTATGATTCACTAGAAACCACAAAGCCACCTGAAGGGCTGCTATTGCCAGTGTGAATTAAAACGTGTGTGACATTTTTAGTCCCAAAATGCACCTACATTACTTATTCTGTACTTTTTCAGTTCAATGAAGATTATTGGGTTCTCACTCGGGTAACAGAGAGTTTAATTGCTTCTGATGGCCCGGCCTACAACACCAAACAGCTGATTTATCTTTTTTTTAAATTATTTTATACATAAACTGCTGCCAAGGACTGAGGCAGGTATGGAGGGACCTTTGGCTCATCTGTAGAACCCACCTAGAGCTGATGTTGGTGGATTTCTTGATTACGTTAAGATTTCTTTAGAAAAAAAGAAAGCAAAATACAGGACCTATGCCTGGGACAGGCAAACATAAAAGTGCAGGACCTGATACACTCTTATTTGAGACTCTAATGGTAGCTGTGAAGCTCACTCTCACCTTGTACATATGGTCCTGTGTCGGGGTGCTCTCGGACTCGAAGCGTGTAAGGCTTCTTGCGGTCTGACTGCTTCAGCAGATCTCGGACACGCTCGTTATAGATTTCAAGAAAGCTGAGAAGCAAAAGAAACAGGAATGTTAAATGCACATGGGTTAAAGAAAAAGAGGAAGCATATATGTAGACAATGCAATTACCTGAATCTTACACAGATCTCTCATGATGAAGTTAATAATTAATTTTCATTATCTCTGTTACCACCCCTCTCCATGCAGTGCACACAGCAAGAACTGATGGTAGTACATTGAAGCAAGGGGCATTCAGTATTTTAGGTAAAAATTCATAAAATATGCTTTTTTTTTTTTAACACTAGTGAGTTTGAAGCCCCAGATTTCCAAACATAATGCTTCATCAGATAAATGGGACCAATGAATACAAATGGAATGTAGGGTTATGGCTCAAATCTAAGAGTAAAATAAACAGGCAGTAAATTTTTAATGCATCCTATCTCATCTGTCTATACAAAAGTGAACAGACAGCATTTAAAGAACCATACTGAGATGGAAAACTAAACCACTTTCTCATCCTTCCTCTATGTTCTGCCCCTCGTTCCAAAATGATTATCATCTGAGAAAAGAGAAACAAAACCAGCTAGTCTTTACTTTGTTTGATTACAAAATATGTTGTTGAAAGCATTTATGGCATTGCCCAAAACAGCAACACACTTACCTGACCTTCACTCTACAAGATGCTGTCTGATCTGAGTAATCCTCCTTCCTTGAAAAGAGGCCCTGCACAAACCAGAAGTTTTTGTAAATTTAAAATCCATCAAGGAAATGTAACTGCTTAAACAAATGCAAGAGAAATAAAAAAAAAATAGTACCTCACATATACGAGGTGTCAGCCCAATGGATGCCTTCAAATAACAGATAGAAAAAAAAAAATACACTTGCTGTTACTCTTGTAAAATTTTTTAAAAAATAAAAGCCAAGTTATAAGAAAAGGACAGAATCATAGTGCAGCACTGAAGTAATGACTGTAGGGTGGATTGCAACACAAACTGCCCAGGATTGTAGTTCTGAACAACCTGGCAATGCTCTACTGCTTCAGCTGATTCCATCGATCTGAGTACCAAGATTAAAATGCATTTTAAGTGGCTCCTGCTAGGCAAGAATTTTAAAATGTAACAGCTTCTGCAAACACCATCCAAATACATTTCAGAACTGGATATGAAGCAAGTATTAGTTTCTGCAGGCCAAAGGATAACTTCTGCAACAGGTAAATGTCTCAAGTAGATAATGAAGCCTGTTAGAAAAGTATTCCAATGAATTGCTATCCAGTTTTATTTGTGAAAGTTATTTAATTTCAGCATAACTCAGACTGCCAAAAAATTCTGTGACTATGAATATCTATTATCATCAGTTATACATTTCTAAAAATCGGACTATTCAGGGGTATACAATTTTTGGGCTTTCCCTCTAATACAGCAGCAAGATTCATACATAGTAAGGTGGAAGTTATTTAAAATATATATTTAAACAACACAATATTTTCTATTTTTTTTAGTTGATGCTATGTTTTTTACCTAAATATAAAGGCTTGACTCTATTACGTATAAATACCAAATACAACATGTATAAGCATTCTGCTCAACAAGCACCATAACAACAGCCAGAGTTTAAAAATAAAGCAGTATTTCTGCAGGACATCCTGCCCTCAACCCTCAGTCTAAAAAGAATGGTGTAACTCACAGGTGTTCCCATCATTGTGTAAGTTTTTCCTGAACCTGTCTGTCCATATGCAAAGAGGCAGACGTTGTATCCTCTAAACGCGCCCGACAACACCGAAGTGCCAAGGTCCTGGAACACCTGAAAAGACCAAAAGAAACAAAACAGCCCACGATTAATATGCCTCCCTATAAGTGGTTTGCATTACTTGTGGATCTTGCAGCTTTAATAGCTTCATGGGAATAAGAATCCTGACTGTGTTTGTCTTTCTCATCTATCAGACACAACGTGAAGTGCCCAGGACTTGCCTGTTAGATCCTCCTCCAGATGCTGGTGTGCTGAGCACAGTGCTGACATGGAGCAGTAGTGTTTGTGTTTCCCTGCCTGCTGCCTCTTATTTTACACTTAGACTGTGTGAGTTCTTGAGGATCTTCCCCACTGCAAATTTTTATAGCATGAACCTGGCAGAAAGGCACAGTCAAGGCTCTCAGTACTTCTCTCTGACCTGCCTGGTCAGTAAGCCACACCCCCAAAGGCTAAATGCTTTGTCTTCCTATCACACCACATGCACAGTGACATGCCTTCTTCTGCTCATTGTAATACAGCACCAGGAACTGTTACCACCAAAACAGTGTCAGCCTCCAGGGGCTTCCACAGATAGAACTCATCCTGCTGTGGCTGCAAAAGCTGGACCATCCCAGCCAGACTACCCACCCAGCAAGACCTGAACAGTCAATCCTTCTGCTTTCCCTTGTTCTTAGAACATCAAAGCCTTGCCATGGATCAGTTGAAAGGATACCTGGTAAGGTCTGCTAGGAAGTGTGTGGTGGATCAAAAGGCTGCAGCAGGCAGGTTGCCAACCACTTAGCACAGCTCTGGTCTTTCACAAGGAATGTTGCAGCTATTAATGGTTTTGCCATTCATGCAGAAAAATGGCTAGTATGTGTAGAAAGATACATATGATTTCAGTGTTTCACTGCTGTGAAATCTCACCCATTGCCAGGTCATCTGCTTCTCCAATAGACATATAAATGTATTAAACCTGATACAAAAAATTACTAGTAAAAGGTATTTCATAGATGTCACCATTTTACCTAAACTGCCCAGAAAAGAGATTAAAAAAACCTCCCCTGAGGCTTTTGTTTTCAGATCATATTTCAACTCAGACAGAGACAGGATGCTAATTCCTAGCTGAAGAATCAATAACATTCCCATTTGGCATAATTTGGCTACCCCTGCCCATATTTGTAAGGGTATGCAGCATCTCAGAGCATCTGCTTCAGTAGCATTATCAAATCAAGGAACTTTTCCACTAAAAGAATAACAGGAAAAGTCAAACACACACAGACAGAAACACAACAGACAAGGCATAACAAAGATAGTGACAAACTCTCCTGTTCCTACTGGAGAGAGATGGTTAAGAAGGTGAAGCATAGCTGTGGAGATGGTCAACTTGGACTTCATAATCAATGAGCAGGCAAAGAACAGGAGGATTTGGGATATTTGAGGTGGGGCTGAAAAGCAATGCAAAACTCCTTAAGGAATATTTAAGGTGAAGGTGTTGAGAAGGGGATATAAAAGGGGCTGGTCCCATGTGAGCAGCAGTAGCTCAGTGCACTCATCTGGCTGAGCCCTGTGCCTGATCACCAGTCTGTCCATTTCCTTATCAAATCCTCCCCATGTAACTGCACTCTCTACCCCACGTGAGTGCTCTAAGAATGAGATGCCAGCAGCTGGAGAGACTGGAGTGGATTTGGAGCCAGCAATGGAGTCAGAAGATCTCAAGTGACAGGGCCATCACATCAGAGGTGCCAGTGAATGAAGCCAGTGAGAGCCTTGGCATTGGTAGCTGGCATTGTCACAAATGTAAGGAGCATGGGTCCAGTGTGCCAGCTACTGGGCAGACTGAGGGGAGTAAATTCAGGTCAGCAACTGAAGTCAACCTCAGGTGATACATCCCCTCCATTTATGGTGCCAGCAGCTGTAGCAAGTAGGACTGTAAGTGCCAGCAATCAGAGTGGAACTATGTGCCACACGGTCTACGTCCCAGCTACCAGGAGAACTGGAGCACTGTGAGGGTCTCTCAGCAGCTGGAGGGGGGACAATGCATCCCAGGGCCTGTGCTGCAAATGCCAGCTACAGGGGTGGCTGAAGGGAAGCACAGAAGGGTATCAGCACCTGCAGCAGGGACGTGCTGCCCACAGGGCTTGCGTGCCAGCTACTGGCATGGAGAGTGAGGAAGAGAGGGGGCTGGAGTGTTGACATCCATCAGTGTGTGGGGGTGCAATTTGCCAGCAAACTTCAAACTGCACAAGTGAGCAGGAGGCCCAGGGTCCAGGCAAGAATATTAAATAAGAGTAAAGGGATCCAGGCATGCTTGTGAGCATGCACGTTTGCTAGGGTGCAGCAAGCTGGGCTGTGAGGCAAGTAAAAGACCCATAGAATAGTTGAGAGGGTTCAGGGTCCAGAGGGCAGGTGTTGGTATTTGAGGGATCTCTCCAGTCCTGGAAGAGCAAGGGTGTGTTTTCACTTGCAGACATCAACCCTGATCAGTTGGATAGGACCTGGCTGTCTATGCTTGTTTCACGTGTGTGCTGGCAGTATTATACGTGGGTGTTGTTAAAGGAGTGTCTTCTGGAGCCATCCGCATAGGCATTGCTGTCCTGTGTCCTTTGTCATTGTCAACATTTGTGTCTTTGGCATAGACACTAAGAATCACTACTGATTTCACTTGCAAAGAGGCAAGCAGCTTCCTCACCCATTAGCATGGGATGGAGAGCCCTCCAGGTGCCCAGGCACACAGGGCTGGCCCCCAGGGGCTGAAGAGGAGGCCCCACGTCTGGGAGCCCACAGGAGACTGTAGCCTTATACATGCCTTAACTGTACCAAATTTATTGTCAGGAACAACTTATTTACAGTCTTGAATAATTAGATCAAAGTCAAAACTCCAGAATATACATCAAGAATGAGTAGTTCATTCACAACAGATGTGGCTAGTAATGCCCTACTGAGGACAATATCTCAATAAAAGATCAAGTTTTATGTTTTTACAAAAAACAGAAGTAATACTATTAGCAAAATAAATCAATAATACATAGCTGATGAATGACTGAACTACATGTATAATAACATATAATAATTGACATATTAGCACAATAGTTAAAAGTTATGCTGAAGAGGTTAATCTACCACTTTCACCTAATAAACCAACATTGCCCAAACTAAAAAAAAAAAACATTATCACACTACTTTTACAAATACCAGTATATAGGGGGACATGGATACATATTACATACTATCACAGAATTTTAGAATCTGTATAAAGAAGTCAGAGGTGCACAAAAAGACAGAGACAGGGCTTAAGAAATGAATGTTAGAGAAGAATGCTACTAAGAAATGCTTGGAAATGTCAATTTTAAGGTGACACTGTGGAAAGAAAATGCATAGAATAAAGAAGTTTACCCCCTGGGGTTTTTAATAGGCTGAGTCTAAGCATCAAAGGGGGCTTTGAAATGGCTAAGCAAAAAATGGAAAGACAGCTAAGAAAGATATATATTCAAAGCACCAAGCAAAAGAAAGATGAAAAAAACCCCACAGCAACAGTTACAAAGCAGTTTCTGAACCTTGTAGACAGGAAGGAAAAGTCGCATTGGATATGGTAAGGGGAAAAGGAAGTTTATTCCTTCCAGTGAGGGAATGGAGTTACCACTAGAAACCTCACAGAGTCATCACAAAAGTGGTGCTTCTGTTACTTAATTTAGCTACAAATGTTCCCTAATTCCACAAGCAGAACTGAGAGAAAACTGTTCCTTGTAAGACCAATGCATAATGGAAATTAGGAACTAAGTTCATGGGCACCACTTTATCTATGAGTTTTGCTTTCTGAGTTGTGGGAAAAATGTAATTGCAAGATTAGGCTGGGGGCTGGGTTTTCTTGGAAGTTGCTTGTAGCAGTGTTTCAACATCTGTTTTTACTTCTTTCCCTTCATCTATGGGAACCCACTTAAAAATAATTGAATAAATGCATCAAATGTGCAATTAGCCCTGTTGCTTTTATTTTACTCAGTGGGATCCAGAGGGTCTGACTGCAGTGGGATGTCTTGCATGCAGAAGGTCTGAAGAAATGTGCCCTGTATTCCAGAGTCCACTTTCATGACACATTCCAAGTCTTCCACTGCTCTCCATTTACTATTTTTGTTATACTAACCTGATGGCATTTGGCCACATGCAGGCAGTATTTGCTGTACCCCCATACTGTCCCAGCACAGTTCCTGCTTCTGCACTGAGAGTCACCATTTGCTCCAGTGATTCAGAAACAGTTGTGTCACTCTGCTCACTGAAGAGGTTAACAGCCAGAGCTGAGGAGCACGCTGCATTTGACCATAGGTATGGCCCTGCATAGTGATAGACACAGAGCATGCTACAAGCTAAACACAATGATTCTGAAGATTCTCCTTGCAGTGACACTGCTTGTCCTAGGTTCAGCTAAACCACCACACTGATGCTCTCCATCTAGACTCCGTGAAGAAAGAGCTCAGTGCCACGCTTACATAGCCACTATGACAGATTTTTCTGCAATAAAGACATTTAAGAAAGCATCTGAGTATTAGAAGCAGCAATGCAAATCACTGTAATCAGTTCTCAGCAAAATGATCATGACAGCTCTTGAGCCATGTAACTGGTTTGCCTGAGGCCTTTCTCTTCAGGTTGTGCTCATGTGTGAATCCTCCAGTGGACACTGAACTTCCCCTCAGCAGAAGCACCAGTCGGATCTCTCTTCCCTACCTGGCTGGCACACAAAACTTGCAGGAATATAATAACAGACATCTCCACCCCTCTTTCAAATTTGGTTCAGCCTAGCCAGTTTGTTCAAGAATTATTGGGAAATGGGCTGAAAACAGCCAGCCACTGTAAAATTGCCTTTTTTTTTTTTTTTTTTTTTCAGCAAATCAGGCTAAGAGATTGCAGTTGTTACCTATTAAGCAAAGACTAAGATTTTCAGCTTATTATTCTGTAGATTCTGCCTGCTCTGGACATGTTCCAGCTCATGAATTGAGAAGGACTTTAATCCAGATTCCAAACTGGACTGCTGTGTTCTAGGATATCTCTAAGACAGTACACACAAAATCAGAGCAGGAGAA